GTCACACCATTTTGACCTCAGGTTGTGTTCATATCCAAACCCATGCTTTGAAGCAAGGGATATGGCAAAAATGTCCTGATGGGATCCGCTATCTAATTGTGTATTAATCTGCTCTATATTTTGTGTACTCGCAATTTGGATCCATTAAAATCTTACAGATCGTGGAGAGATCTTTTTTTCTTCCTGCATCAATTTTACTCGATGTTTAGCAATACACACTGAAAGTGTGTGTCATCACAGGGTGCCTCCAGTGCCCAGGTAAGTACGACGCAAGGGCTTGAATTGTAGCAACCTTTTTAGCTCCGACTGAGAGAACGATAGCGCTTCTTCCAGATTTACGATTTTGGCTTGTCTGGATCCATTCTCAGCGACCAAGTCCTGGACTCGAACATTGCTTTCCATAAGATCATTTTCACTAGATTCTCTTCTTTTCACTTGATTTTCAAGATCGCGCCTTAGCTTCGAAATCTCTTCCATCATCCTTGTGGTTTGCTCCTGCAGTGCAAGTTGCAAATTGGGTGTAACGTACAGACTAAAAATTTTATATTTTGATGAACAGATGATTCATTCGTATCAATGCGTTTGCTTTTCAGTATCTCCCGCATGTTCACTAATGCATGATTTTTTCGGAGATATTACAATAATATTAATTGTAATATTAATTATGAACAATGTTGCCATAGAATCGCCGCGGGAGAGCACATGCTATCGAAACTCTATAAGCAGACGCTTCCCATTCTGCAAAGGGGAGCAATGTGGTAGTTGTATGGCTATTTGCCATTACAATGGATCAGCATTTTTTTGCACACTGACCTGGAATTTATAGTATTTCTATCGAATTCAGAGAAAAAGCCGCTCACCATGACCAAGGCCACGAGGATCGACACGGGTTTCTGAGTGGTACCAATGTGATGTCTTTCGCATGGCAAAATTGCATATTCAGTGAAGCAAGTAGTCTTTGGGATGGATATTGGCAGATATATTGATTCTATAGGATCAAGTGTGAAGTGCACTGATAAATCTATGTGCCACCGCCAGCAAAGTGAATGTATCATTGAAAGCGTGTTTGGAAATGGGATATTTCGCGAAGGAAACCAGCTGCCTGAATTCCATCTTATGTGTTTCCGAAGAACGCCATTATTGATATGATGGGGTTCGAATTTTTTCAATAATGATGGCAGAAAATGGATTCCACTGCAGCTACCAGGATAATGGATTCCCCTGTTTGAACTTCTCCTTGTGGGATGAGCGTTGAACAGAATGTCAATAGAGACGTACCTGCCATGATTTCTCTGATGCTTCTAAACACTTATTGAGTTGGAATTTCTCGTTGCACCAGGCGTCTCTCTCCACATCAAGTTTCTGTTGCAACTCTTGAACTTCCATCTGTCGTGCGTCCATCTGCTGCTTTAGTGATTTCGACAATGCATCTTCACAATCCATTCTTTGAGACAGCATGATATTGTACCTCTTGTTCCCTTCCTGTATGGCCTTCTCAACTTCCAGACGAGATCTTTCCAATTCCGCCGACAGGTCCTGAACAAACACTTCCGAACCACGCACTTCAGCAACTCACAGTCAGCAACACCACGTGGTTTGAATTAGATTGGCAGCTGCCAGGCTGTGTGGACATTCAGTGGAAATATGAGCATGCATATTCCCACCTCACCCGGTGGGGGTTACTGTCGTCGGTTGATTTTCCCGATTGGGTAGTTATGGATTGATTTGTGCTGCGAAAGGTACACCCATTGCAGTAAATGGTTGCAAATGCGTGCAAACTTATCATGATTGATTCGCAGCATTTGTGCGTATTTTGGGAAGCCTGGAAAATAATATAATTGAGATTCTCCACCAAGGAGCAGTTTTACGGCATCAACAGATCAATGTAAATTTGTCTGATTCCCGACCGAATTCGTATTCAGATTTAGAAAATGAAAAGGAGACTAGCGTTTCCTGATGAATCCATCAAAAAAACTCACTCGCTCTTTTTTTACAAACGATGTATTGATCCGATCGATTTCGGCTGCTCGGTCCCTCAGCTCCCTTCGAAGTTGCTCCAAATTGTCTTTTAGTTCCTGAATTTGTCTTGAAGCCTCTGATTGGAGGTTTGTTTCTCTTTCTTTGGATTTCTGAAGAAAATAACCATTTTCTCAGTGAGCAATGATGCATGCTCCATGTGCGCTGCCAAACCCTTGAAAAGCGGCGTACTTTGAATTGCACAATTCAGTCTTGTTATTTATGTTTACGGTTACGTTCTTACGTTTACGGTTTTGCGCGCAAAAACGTAAATTTGTTAAATAGGCTATTTTTATAGTTGTTTTTATGTCTTTACGGCTCGTTGTGACACCCAGGGTGCACGATGTAAGTTGCGTTCAGTGATCAGTATTCCGCCCCTTTGAGCGCCCGCAATACAGCGTCCACTTCCCACTCGCCAAGGGCCACGGTGGAGCGCAACAAAATTTGTTTTCCGCCTATTGCAGTGCGTCTGGATGCCATTTCCCAGAGTCCCGAAAGCTGTGTATATTGTCCTTATGCACACGGGGCTATTTTTACGTTGCATTTACGTCTTTTACGCGTTTTTACACGTAAAACCGTAAAAACCACTTGTATGCGTAAAAACGTAAATACGATCTGTGTTTACGGCGTAAATAACAAGTCAGGCGCAACTTAATAAGGCCACATGATCTTTGTCAAGATAGTTCAAGATAATCCACTCTCATGTATATAGAATTTGACTGGAAATGACAACAACACGTGTATATTTAAGAAACAAGATCTTAAGCAAGAGCAGCGCAGGAGGCGGAATGGGAAATATTTCAAATATATGCAGCAATACTATTTCGCGGAAGTGCTTCGCATCTTTCTGAATAACTGGCCAGGGAACCTGGTTCCCTCTGGTCCAGAGGCGGCAGGTGAGCCACACGCGCAAACCTAAGGTGTTCGTTGTCAAAGAGCACCGGCTCTAATGGGTCACATTCCAGTACTTCGATCACATGGGGTTGGACAACAAGGAGCATAAATTAAATTGAACGGACCTCCTTAAGCAATTGAAGATCATCCAGGGCCGCTTGCCTTTCGCACTGGTAGTGCTGCTCAAGTTTCTGTAATATGTAGACACATGCGCAGTCACGTCTAGCAAGAGAACTATGTGCAAGCGTTTAATGCAGATAAAGAAAATTCGAAAAAATTCAGAGGATCTTGGAGGAACCCAGTTGTATTCCTATGGGCCACTTCTGATCTCCAACTTACCGATGATGAAACATCTCAACACGGCAATGTAATTGGCTCACCCAATTTTTTTCGTAGCGCCAGGCAATGAAAAGACGAATTTATAATTCAGATACCATGCGAAACTATGAAATCATGATAAACGAATGTGCAAGGGATGAAACAAGAAAGGTTCAACAACATCCAATACAATGGCAAAAGAGATGTGTATCGGAAAGTGAATCACATGCCAATACAATTTACCAGCAAAGGCAATGTCATAGACACAATGTCCATGCTTACATCATTATATTATACTTGCTGCTCTACCTCCCTTGATTGCACAATTTTATATCCAGAATGCTTGCCGACAGCAATTCCCGAGCGTACATTACTGCGTACTGCTCACCTTCGTTGCCTCCAGTAACTTCTGCTCGTCGCGCCTGTCCTCGAGCTGGTTTTTGAATATGTTCATTTTTGCAGCTGCGTCTTCCAATATCTGCTGCACCTCGGATTCATGTTGTTCTTCCATTTCTAACATTTCGAATTCGTAGTCTTCGTTTTTGTTGTTCAACTGATAAATAACCTGTCAAGAACATAGATCTAAACCTTCAGAATGAACGTTACTTGACAAAAGCACATGCTCAACGCAATTGATCTAAATCAGGAATACCCAAAAGCTTTCGAAGTTTGGGAATGCCTTGGTTAAGCGGTTTTCATCAAGAAACAACATGTTCCTGAGGTTTATTCGCTCTGAGGCCCAAGCTCAATCGCATGCTTAGAAATCCACTGGATAGCGACGTATCATTTCAACAGCCTAGATCTCGGATCTGGTGGCACTATGAATAGAAAAAAAGAGTCGCAAACAAGCAATTGTGATATGCTATATGCTATGCCCTTTTTTCCGCCAGTGCCCCCACAGGCTCAAAAACCTTCTTGCGTGAAGAATATGTGCTCATTTTAATATGATATATATTGGGCTTCGGCATCGCCTTGCAAATTCATGTGAAGTGGTGCAATGCCTATGATCCTTCTATTGTGGCGGGGTGACAACTGGTGTCCTTAATGTGTTGTTGTATTTTGGAATAAATAGAAAACAACATGTACACCTCAACATACAAAGCACATTTTGGTGAGTTAGGCTAAAACAGAGGAACTGGATTTGACACTAATAACCCGCGGCACTAACCCGCGGCCAGCACGCCTTTGCCTTTGCACAAATTGGACAAACGAAGACAGGGAGCAATGTCAAGTTGAACAACCAAACTGCGATTCTGATACGCCTTCACATTCAACGAATGTAGCTACAACACTGAACTCTCGGCGTTCGTTGGGTACAGACTGTACCTTTGTCAGTTGGGCGATCTTCTTGCTCATTCGGAACTGCAATGTGGAGGAACAAGGGCAAGGATATCAGCACTGGTGCAACAGTGTGGCCCACGTTGCAAATGAGACAATTGCGACCCAAGTGGCGGTGGCTGACTCCACTCACCGAGCTGCCACGCGCGGGACACCCACCTTGAGGTCAGGCACCTCGAAACCCCGACACGCCATTGTTGAATTCATGGCTCGCTGCCGACCAGGCCGTCACCAGCGCGGAGCCCTGGCCTGATTTGGACTACCTGCTGCCGGCTTTTGGTACCAGCCCCTCCGAAGGCAACATCGGTTCGTCCACTGACGTCAGCGAAAATACGGCCCGCCCAGCCACCGGGGTTCGTCTCCCAAATGCGGTCCCTGGGCGGCTTAGCACGCAATGTACTCGAGGGGGCGCCGCGTTGGCTCGCGCAGCGGCGATGAGGCGACGGAAGTCCGGGAGAGGGACCGCAGCGAACGCCGAGGAGGAGCTCGGGGGCGGCGACGGCGGGCGGGAGGACCCTGCTGCGCCGAGCGAGGTCGTCAATGGCACCAGGCAGTGGGGGCACGACGCCTTCTTGCTGAATTGCTGTGAGCGCGTCGTTGTTGGCGGTGACATGCGGGGAACTCGTTCTTTTCGGTTTGGTGGAGATGTGCGGAGGAAGGGCATGCAACCAATCTCCCGAATTTGGGGGCAGAGCACCGACAGGGCCGGCATTTTGGGATGTCGCATCGCCCTGGGTGGCCACTCTGTGAATGTGATGCGAGACCTCGAGCGCGCTCCCCACCATTTGTACCTGCTGCAGAGATTCGCTTGGAGCGCGGCATCGGCTGGGTTGCTGAAGTCATGAAGACTGCTTCCTGCTGATGATGAACGTGTTGGGGGTGTTGAATCTCGTTTTGCGCTCTGGGTAGGCAACACAGCCCGATGCTGGGCCGCCAATCGTTGATTCGGACAATTCTGGCGAAGATGCTTCCAGTGACGAAGAGAGCTCATCAACCGAGGAGGTGAGAGTACAACTTGCTTATCCTTCGCATCATCCTCAAGTGAATGGGGATCCTGCTGTTACTCTGCAGTGAGCTTGCAGTGAGCAGACGCAGCTTGCTACCTCATTCTGCAGACAAGCGTTGGCTCAACGTTGAACGTATGCATTTCACACATGCCGGTCATCTCTTGCAAACGGTGATAGGACTGAAGGGAAATTAAAATATTTTTCTTCTGTTGATGGTCCCAAGAAATGGTCGCACAATGGGGCTGCCTCAATACAACTGATGCAAAGGTTTTGGATTAGCCTCGATTCGCTTATCCCGACACTGCTTGTCTTGTAGGATGATGGGCACGTTCACCCAAATCTGGAGAACAAGTTCCTGAAGACCCTTGTGAAAATAAAGAAGAAGGATGCAACAATATACAACAAGGATGAAAGACTATATTCTTCTGAAGAGGGCACTTCAGAGCTGGAAGACGAGGATGGTGACCAGAAGTTTCAAAGACACAAGCCAATGCATTTGAAGGATGTGCGAGCTCAGCAGGTATGTGCAGCAAAGTAAGTTGTGTGCAGCCGAGTTCGTGTTCAATCAATCGTCCTGTTGAATGGTGCAGTCTTCTGGACGCCTTCCACTCCACATCATGCCCAAGTGTTGCTTTTCTGCTAATGATCCAGCTTTCTGTTAGTGGTGCAACTGTATGATGGACTTTCCTGAAAGTCGCTGAGACTGGGGTCTAAGGTTGTGTGATGTGCCACTATCAGCTGCTTGAGGGTGGTGCGGATGCATATTCGTCTAGTTCAGAAGATTTGGAAGATGGTATGCCAGGGGGAAACCTGTTGTACAACAAGGAACAGGAACAAAATCGGAGGGAATTTCTGGCATTGGCGGCAGTGCATGAGAATGGGGATGACGATGAGCAGAAGGCATCTGATGTTGAGGAGGACTTTGGTGGGCTTAGAAGAACGGTGGTCCAAGGAGCTGAAGCAGATGATGGGCGTAATGAAGCTGAAACAAATGAGGTATGCTTGGATTTCAACCCTTGATATACAGCTAGACTTGGTATTGCTTGCGTTGCTAATTGTGGTGAGCTGTGCTGTATCTGCTAACTTCTCATGCTTTTGCCTTTCTGCAGCTCTTGGATGAGATTTTTGGCAAGGGTGAGGAATTGACTGAAGCAGACACATTCTTGAAGGATTATTTAAAGGGACAGAAGTGGATAGTTCCAGAGGACTCTGTGCAGCAGCATGACCTGGAGGACATTGATGAAGACGAGGAGTACTTGGAAAAGGCAGACCAATTTGAAAGCACCTACAACTTCAGATTCGAGGTGTGTTGGCCTACTGCAGATACACCAACACAGATAAGAATAGCATGGATGTGATTGTGTTTCGGTCTGATACCGGGGTCCTCACTGCTCACAAGTTGGTGCTCTGGGTGCAGGAACCTGGGGCCAACAGCATTGTCAATTATCCGCGAGTGATCGATGGTTCGTACCGGAAGACAGAATCCAAACGAAAAAGGCAGAGGGAGCGCAAAAAGCGTCGGCGCGAAGAGCAAGCTAAGGGCAGAGAGGAAGAAGTGAAGCACAAGAAGAATTTAAAAATTCGTGAAATTCAGAACAAGTGCGAACATTGCTGGTGATGTGCCCCTTCCTGGTTGTTTTGTAAAGTTGACTGAGGCCTTTTTGTGAGTTTTGTCATGAATGATCTGTGTGCAATAATGAAGATGAGGAAAGAACCATTCAAAAGCATCTGAGTGCCTGACATTCTGAGTTCTTTTTTTGCTGGTTGTGAATATCCTCACAGATGTGGCACTGCTGGCCTTTGTCGTGGTTGTATGTTGTCATCAAAATTTTTAACACTGCACAAAGTGTCCATGGCTAAAGCAGAGTAACAAGAGTCTAGTCAGGGACATGGAGGGATGCCCTTGTGCAAGAGCAACTGGTCAGTGGAAATGTCTTTGCAAGACCGAGAGAAATGTATGCTGATGCAGAACCTGCTCCTTTTGTGGTATTTCTCTTCCACTGTACACTGCACACATAACGCTGATAGGCCTGTTAGGATGCAGTTGCACGTCCTGCCATTTAGATTGTGTTTTGGACGTCAAGCAGCTGCGAACATCACTTTATATGACAAAATACTGTCAATGCACAGTCCAGCAGGGTGGCATGGGCCCATTGCTCCACATGGGTTTGCAAGAATGCAGTGAGCTATGGCCATGGACAAAAAACTTGGGATGAGACTTTGCTCCCTGTTTGGGTGCCGTCGCCTCCAGGAGCGATTGTTTGGGATGTGGCAAAACATGCACTGCACAGCTTCCAAACACTGTGTGTCAACCACAGTGGTGCACCAACGTCTGTGACGCATTGCTAAGCTGCTTTAGACCTGGTATGAGAGACCTCAAAAATGTTGCCTTTAACAACTCCATTGCGCCCTAGATGTACCTGGTGATTGCTGGGCACGAACAAGTTGCTGAGGTGCCTCGTTTGAATCTCTATTTCAGGGTGGTTGAAGTACGCAAAGCGGCTGGCTCTCGGGCACCCACAGAGGAGCTGCTGCAGGATCTCTTGGAAGACGATTTTGACATGGACGACTGGGACAAGAAGATGTTGAGCGCCTTTGGTGACGAGTACTATCAGGTCACAGCACATGGACTGCGCTTAGTACTCAGGATCAACAGTGATATCGCGATTGACGCTAATCAAGTAGTATTGCCTGGGCATTGCAGTGACGTCAACTGTAGTATGATGGAGGCAGAGCTAACATCGTGGTCTTGGTGAGAAGGTCACTGTTGCACACTTGGCAGGGTGCATTTGTGGCCAGTGTGCTGCTGGCCATGTCTGTTGCCACATAAAGTTCTAGTTTTGGTTCATTTCAGAACGTGGAGTACAGATGCACCTCTCAGCCACAGGGCCTTTTAGCCCGTTTGTTAGATTTGGTGCATGCTAGCGGTTGTTGAAACACTACTTGTACAACTTTGATTGCTTCAATATGATCTTGGTTCTGCTAACGAATCTGTGGGCATGACTCATAACGCAATGGACGGTGCCTGGCAGCAGGGCTGTGTGTGCAATCGACGTGCCATCTCTTTGGCATGAGCTTCGATTTGCTGGCCAGCACAGTTGACAAGTGTAAAAGCGTGGAGGCAGTACTATCAGCAGTGTACTTCAACATTTGCCACCTTGTGCTATGATGCTGCAAAGCTGCTTGTTGCTTTTGCTTTGACACACCAGCACTTCGTGTTAAAAATGAATCATCCATGCCTGTCAGGAACGTGACAACTCCTTTTCTCTTTCCAGAAGCTCAGGTACATCGTTTTGATGCCAACCGACATGGTTGGGCCCTGACATCTGAGGTATGTGGCTTAAGCCAGGAGGATGAAGACTGTGCAGAAGATCTTCAGCGTTCTGGTGATGAATCCAATGGAGACCAAGTCGAGGAGAATTGCGGTGCCGCTACTGTACAGGTATGGGTGCAGAACATGTGCCGTCACGGTGAGGACGAGTGCTGCACTATAGATGTAGATAGCATCAGAACGATTGTGTTTTGCAGAAGTGCGATCAGTTTTCTGTTTCTGCCAAACACAGTTGTGGTGGTTCTTCTTTTGTTCCTGGTGTAACAGGGCGGGGCTTGAGTGTGACACACTCATGGTGTGAATTCTGTCCTGAAGGAGGGAGACGAGAGTGAGCAAGATGGAAATACAGAGGATGACCCTGGCAGCAAGCGGGCGAAATTAGATGTCGCGACAGCTTCCCAAGCACGTGCAGACCTTCAGCACTTGTTGCAAGACTACTACAAGCTAGATTACGAGGACGATATTGGAGGCGTCAAGTGCCGTTTCAAATACAAACAGGTGCGTTGGCTCGGCTGACTGCTGCTGTGCAACTAACTCATGTTGTCCGGGTATTGTGCAAGGCCTCTGTGAAGCAGTGCTTTGACAATAGAATAGCATGTACCATGTTCAGGCTGGGGATATGACATTTTAATGTGCCCGGAAAATCACCTGGGTTTGTATGGCCTTGCAGTGTGCCATTGCCGACACCTCCTGTTGCATTTAGTGCAGGAAACAATAGATTTGGCATTGATCACTTTGTCGTTGTCAGATTTCCTGGTGTGATGTTCTGTCGTGATAACTTCCTTGCGGCATTCTTGGGCAGACGCGAACCAGCTTGTGAGAGGGCATTGCTGCTGTCTTTCATCACGTAGGTACCGAGTAACAGCTACGGCTTGGCTCCTGAAGAGATTTTGTTTCTAGATGACAAACAGCTCAACCGGTTAGTTGGCATGAAGAGGATAAATCCATACAGGGAAGACGGAGGAAAGTTTGCTCCAAACCCCTGGCTGCTCAAACAAACCAGAAGAGAGATGGACTGGAGTGGGTTGCCAGAAAGACGGCCGACTCTGCACGGTGCGAAATCACGACCACAGGCGAGAGCAGGCAAGCGCGGAGGGAGGCCTGAGAGAAGAGTGTGGCAGAGGAACGACGGGAGCAAGGTATGTCGCTTGTGGAATGATTCCAATCACCTGGTCAAAGCATTGCGCTGTTGTGTCGATCGTTGGCAGTTCTGTTGGTACATTGCCACCTGACCACTTGCGGATGGGTATTGATGGGGCGCGTGGACGCAACCAGTATGTACTTGTTCAGGCGGAGGCCGCTGCCAGTCTGATTGCGACCTGCACATGCGCGAATATGCCCCCAAATGGCCCACCACAGCGACAGTGACCTTTCACGACACGCCATGAGCGCCTGATGTGCAATATGCAGCCACGTGAGCCATGCTCGCACTCCGCTGAAAAGGTGTGCTTTTGAATAGCGTGCTAAAACTGGACCTCTGCAAAAGTTGAAATTTGTTTTAGAGTAGGAACAAATCGCTCGTTACACGCTTTCCAGATTTTTTTCTTTTCTTTTTTGGGGGGGTGAGGGGGGAGCGCACATATTCTCGAAATCAGTGCCAAGCAGAGAGCCGTTTTGAGTATGAGACCGTTTTGGAAACAGGGTGTTGAGGCATACCCTCCACCCTACTGAGCAGCTGGCACCTGCCGGCAGAAAATTGTTTGCGCCTTTGGGATCATGTGCTTGGCCCGTGCGCATTTTTGGTCGCGACGGTGAGTGCCGCCGCGTTCCAAAGCTCTGGTGCCTTCGTGCTTGCTGCGCCATGGGCGTCTGACAAAAAGTGAGTGCCAGAACTGTGTTCTGGCACGCCGCCCTGCTGGGTTTTGGACCAGAGCACGGTATGGAAGCAAGCTCTTGCACAAACCAGACAGGTGGTTCTCATGCCCACAGTGTACTGTCACGATCGCCGCTACAGAGATGGCTGATTATGCCGTGTAGAAGATGTTGCTGGTCGGACGCACCATCAGCGCCACGTCCTTCTGTTGCGGTGGCTTGGCATCGTGCACATGTGGGTTCGCGGTTTTCCTCCTATTATCTCAGTGCACGTAGTTGCCATGGATGCTGTAGGCTCACTCCGACAAACAGGAGGCTGTGAAGGCATCACACTGCGAGGAAACACAATCGCTCGTGGATGCTCGCCTGGATTCTTACGCATGGGTTTCAGTTCGAAAGGTGAGGTCATCAAAGCAATGTGGAGTTGAGAATGGGTGGGTGGCGTTTTAGACAGCATATTGCAGCACAATGATGGATGGCATGATGGTGCTCACCAGTCTTCACGTATTACCCATCGGGTGTGTTCGTCTGTTGTGCAGAAGTGCTGTTCATTTTCGTAGTCGAGTCTGCAATGCAGAGCCAGCTTTGAGCCACTTGGTAATCGTGGCAACTGTGCTTCTGGCTTTCACAAGGGGAAGGGTCTCCATAACCTTGTTGCGCAGGACTTGATTGTGCTGAAGGGGATCAGCGTGGGAGGGCACCCAAAAAAAAAAACAGCGATATTGTGAATTTGTTTGTTCATGCTGTACTCGTGTGTAGTGGTTTTCACGTTCATTGCCACGTCCATGTTCGCATTGTATGCGGGTTTAATATGTTTGTTGATGTTGACAGCCTGGTGGCAAGGATGGCAAATCCCAGAAACGTGCAAAAAGAGTCGAAGGCGCAGAAAAGGCATGTGGGAACGACGACAGCAAGCGAACAGAAGCACAGAGAAGGAATGCCAGAAGGGCAAGAAAGCGAGCGGCGTTAAAGGTCAACAAGGGCGGTGCCACAGGATGAGTGCTGCCGTTTCCGCCTGCGTCTCACCTGCAAGGCTTCATATTGTGCGTGTGCAGTGAGTTGGCACAGTTGATATGATAGTGTGTGTTGACTCGCTATTATGTTGTTAGGTTAGATGGAAACAGATATATTGTTCGTATCCTGCTTTGTGTCAAATGTGAAGGTATAACACAGCTGTCTTTTCCACTTGTTGACAAGCCTGGCGATTTCCCCTCGTGCAGGTCACATGTGATGGCTTGTGCACTTCAGGTCCACTGCCTGAAGGCCCACGCGCACACTCTACCACTGCAGCAACGGTTTCTGAGCATCGATCAATTACAATTAGCTGTCAAAATGGTACTGGGTCCCCAAAACTGTGAAGGAAATGTCATCAGCATTCTTCAGAATAGCCAACAGGGCCTCATGCGTTGACTTGTGTACGCTTGCCCTCCTCCTGTTATTGTGCACAACCGGGAAGTACAAAAATGAACACAAATAAACACAAAGAATGAACACAAAGAATGAACACAAAGGCACAACAAAAGGGGCGCTCTACTACTCTGTTTAGCGCATAGGCTGAGCAGAAGATTCGTTGCAAAATCAAGATGACACATCAGACAGTGGGCAATCTCCTGCTGAGCATGGTATGGGTGTCTGGTGTGAGGAACCTTGTTGCTTGGCAACGTGCAGTGTCAACATGCTATCACTGCTCTGTAGGCTCAAAGACGTTTGGCAATGTAAGGAGTGCCCAAAATCATAATGTGTTTTCGTGCGTGTAACCACCTCCCAGCATGCGCTTACTGAAACATGCAAGGGCTCAAAAAATAACTTTGGGTCCACCCGTGCTCGGGTGATGCACCAATCTTGGGCAAGAGAAGTCAATTCGTTTATGAAATTAAATGACGTCAGCAAAAGTTCTTGCCAATTTTCACGAGGTCACAATCTTTTGTGTTGGACAGCCGTGTTTTCAGCCAAATGTGTGTCGGTGCAATTGCACAGCGATTTTAAGAACACAACTGCTTGGGACTTTGGTACATGCAAACAATAGTTCTGTTCACAATACTGCAGGCAGGGTGCACCCAAACAGACAATGCCAATGCACTACATTGTGACATTGTCACAATTGACACACATGTGTGGGAATTTCTGGCAAAAAGTTGATTAGTTCTCAACTTTTTGTCCTCCCACAACAACCCCACCACCTACCTGTCTGCTGTGGATGTTTGGTGTCTTGTCATCCGACACTGAGTATTCACTGTCTGCAAATGCCGCTTCCCCTATGCCAGTTTCCTTCAATATGCACACGAGAGCAATGCCAGGTCAACAGACTGAGAGACAGACAGACAACATGATGGCAACTGCCCCAAGGTGATGTAATCCACACTAAGGCAAGCTTCTAACACTTGTAACAGAGATTTGTGAACATATCAAATGTTCGAGAATGATGAGCACCAATGGCGCTATTGAAACTGACCCCAGACAAGTGGCTTCGTAAACGCACCTGCTTACATCCCCATGGTATGGGTCATGGGTCGTTCCAATCCTACTCCCACCAAGGGTATCGATCATCACCAGCACTCTTTTGCTGTAACAACTTGAACACATATTCGTTGTGCATTTGATGCGACATAAGGTGATGGTATCAATGATTAAGTGGTGTCAGTGTGACAGAGTCTTCAGTTTGGATGCAACAATGGCACAGTGGCATGACACTGATCATGGCAATATGCAACATTGTAGCAGGTTGTCGGAGGTACTGTTTGCGCTGCATCAATGATGCGACCCATTATATGCTGGATGGAACAAAGTGTTCTAGTCATGGACACAGCTATCTTGGAATTCAACTATTATTTTCAGTCACCACCATTGGTAGGGTTGCATGCAGATAGTTGGCATGTGTATCTAGTAAAAGAGATGAGGGGCAGAAACATACTCTTGGATGCATACACATCTTTCATCGCCTGCAAGGTGCGAGGGCACCATTTTGCCTTGCAAAGGCAATTTCAAACGAACGAGTTTTAGCAACGTGCAGAAGTGGCAACTGCATTGCTTTTGGTTGATAGCAACCTCATGTGAAGAGAATTCCAGCAGCCATTCATACGATGTGAATATTTCAGGTCTCCATTCTGTCTCCGCAGTAACAATCTCCAGTACTAGCAATTCACCTATCATCAGCAGACAGCACATAGCCCAATCCAACAGCAAAGAAAGGGTAACTAGTTCAGATGTGGCACTGCAATGGGTCAACTGATGCGCTTTGAATTTGCACCATCGTTGCATGATCTGCTTTTCTTAGGTTTGTGAGACGCAGAAAGTGCAGCAAAATGAATTTCTTCTCATACCTTCATATCAGCCGCTGCAGCCTTCAAGGCCTTCAGGCGCTCCTCCCTCCTGAAACAAGGGTACAAAATTTGTAGACATGTTCAGAGAACCGGCTCAGATCTAAGCACTGCTGCTGTAAAGAGCATTGTCAATGAGAGCTCAAAAGAACAGGACTTCCGAGCAACTTCCACACAGGCATCAAGCTAACTTCCATTGAGGAGCCCAAAGTTGACCAGGCATTTGCATAGAGGTCAAGTATCGGGCATGAAATGCTTGTGTCCAGCACTCACGCTTTTCTGGCTGCTTCGATGTCACGCGCCTCAGCGCATCCAGCCACCAGCATAGTCGAAGCGCACAGCGACAGCATCGCCGCTCTGAATCACAGTCATTTGCTTATATCCGTCACATGACCACACCACCTTCCGGTACATACGAAACAAAAGCACGCGTCCATGAATCCAACACGTGTGCAGCGAGGGCGGCACGCGCAATTGCAATGCATTGTGATTCCGAGTGCCAACACGAGGTGCACGGGCTGGTGTTGGATGCACGCCAAGCCCCACGAGGTCCAAGCGTGGTCGGAAGCCTATCAGCCCGTGCCTGGGCTACGCTTCCAAAAGTGGAGACGCCCATGTTGAGCGCATTCGTGGCAGTCGCTGTGGGCGCCAAGTGCTGGCAATGGATTGAAATCCGCAGTTGGTACCTGCGCTCCATCCGCGGTTCAGAATGGGGGCCCTGCCGATCCTCACGACCTGCTGCGCTGGCAGTCACCACCCGGCGGCAGTCTTTCGCCGCCGGCGGCTTGGGCACGGCGGCCCCCAGGATGCCTGCGCGAAGGCAGCTCATCGTGGCGAACGAGTCGTGGGTGGGTAGGCGTGGGGGGGCTGCCAACCACCCTGCGCGACGCGCACGGCATAAATGGGGCAAATTCTGCGACGGGCATTGCTGACCTCTCCGGATCAGTACACTACAACAGACGTAGTGACAAGTTTTGTTTACCAAGCACCAGCCCCATGAACAATGCTGCTGTCACCAGCGATGAGCTGGGTGTTCCTTTGGGGAAGAATTGGGATGCTAACGGCAACCCAAATCTCGTTTGTCCTGAGCCCAGGTGAACAGGAATGGAGCGCCGATGTGCCCATGATTCAGCCACGCATTTGTTAGTGACCACAACACGCTCGTTGTGCTTGGCAACTAAACCATTCCCGTAAGCAGACAATTGTGAGGTGTCCATCGACCGCGTGGGCTACGGTGATCCCAGTCGACCCGAACCCTGTCGGTGCCAAGCCGACAGCCAGCAACACCTGGCCTGCCATCACGTATTCACAAACAGGATGGGCCATGAACATGCCCACATGCATTCCTTGTGGCCAAGACTGCAACGAATTGGGCGCATTTTCACGTCATGTGAATAAAACTATAGTCAACCAAGGCTTGCTGAATGTATTTAGCGCCCACTGTGCCGTGCGTCCACACAGGTGCCCTGATGTTCAGGTTACGAGTACCACACAGTACAGGAGCTGCCTGAAGAACAAGTGTTGACACGGTTCTCTCTCAGTGGAATACGGACATTTACAATCGCTGCAACTTCAGCAAATTGGCTCTGTTTGGTGCGCCTCCTTCCCTGGATCTGCCATCCACCTGCAGTGTTCCGCCAGCCTGCCTCCTTCTCTTCATTTGTGCAACTGCTCGGCAGTGAAACATACTACATGGACATTGAAGGGCCAAACAAAATACATCTACGACACCTGCCTGTCAGCTATGCATGCGACAGCTTCTGCAGACTCTCTATCGTCCCTTCTCCCCAGCGCATAAAAAAATAACGAGATTCTGCAAGCTTCAGATCATTTCGATTGAGCCATCCAACGAATTCGCTTCTGTCCTGTCCATTTACAGTTCGTCAGTCTCCCAGCACAGATTGGGCAAGCTGGCCTGGGGCATAGGCTCTGTCCTCCGTCATCCCCAAATGGCTTGTGGCAGACGACCCTATGTCAGCAAGCTCAGGGTCGTCGAAGCACCAAGCAGACACAGGCAGCTTCCAATGGTTGTGATCGCTGTATTCTTCCCTCTGAAGCCCAGAATCTTGGATTGGGGGGAAGACTTCGTCGACCAGTTCACTGTTACCTGGCAGTCGCACAATGTTTCTTTTCAGCACCAAGCCCTGTGCAGCACTGTCTTTTCCACGTGCCAGGGCATGCAGGCCAAGACGATGCCGCACTGCCTGGGGGTGCGACAATCAACGGCACAGCGTCAAACACATCATGCAAGGACTATGCCGAATACTCAGCATCAACAATGCAGTGCAGCGCATCCCAGCATGTGATATGTTGCAGCACAAGATGGTGAGTGCAACACATACAAGTGTGTGATTTGTTGCGAAGTGACAGGATGCGCCAAACCATGATGGAGACGGGGACTCACTGTATAGGGATGCCCAGGTGGATGACTGCACCACGCTTGATGCCCTAACAATTGAACCCTTCGGGTTGATCGTAAAAATTCTGCTTTCTGGGATGCCTGCCATCTCATAGCTGATCACATCCGTTGGTCTATTTCCGAAACCGGCATAGAATGGATTCCAGTCCTCAGGGAACAGTGCTCGAACATCCTGCAGGACAAATCACACCTGCACATCAAGGCAGCACCAAAGGAGTCTAGCGTGAAAGCCAATGCCCTCACGTGTGGAAAATCAAAACCCCCTCACGTGTGGAAAATCAAAGCCCCACACCAGGGGCAAGACAGTGGTCAGACGCATTGACACGTGAAAGAAGGAATGCAAGGTTGCCAATGCAGGTACACACAAACCTGCTATAAAAACACAGCCCAAGCCAATGTTTCACACTGCGATGCCCACCTGGAGACAGCCAATCTTGAAGTCTTGCGGTCGTCGCAAGATCATTTCTCTATAAAGGGACGGCAACAGGCCATGGGGCGAGATTATGACAGGGCCCACAGGCATCTTGTCCTCCCCTTGTTCCAGCCTGTGTAAAAAGTCGCGGGTAATATTTGCTTGGGCAATTGCTCGCGAACTCAAAAACATGATCTGCAAGCACACCGCAAGCCTTGAGTTGCCAACAGGTCCAACACTTCTTCAAGGAGGCAAGCAATAACCTTCTTTCAGTCTCCATTGTTGATGCTTCCAAGACAAGGGCCATGCAATCTGACCACATTCTGATGGAAAACTTGCATACAGTCCATGTTTGACGAGGTTGCCTTGACGTTCCCACTGGAGATCAAAATATTCTGGCTATACAGTGTGTTTGCTTGAAGGAATCGTAAAGCTGCAACTGCTTCTATGCCATTAGGCTTGCTTGCATTTGCTGGTGCTTCACTTGCCCATGATGTAGCACAGAGCAGATCACTGCTGCTGGTGGCCACCAAAGGGCGAAATTCCTTTCTAAGCAAGAAAAAACAGCTATTCAGACGTCACAACGAGCAATGGTTCTACAATGCTCTTGACACACCCACTGAATCCAACCAAACTGCTGCAAACGGAGCGTTCTATGGAAGAGATCCCAAAGCAAGCAGTTTGCCAGAATCTGCACTCACCTCATAGCCATTCTCCCGAATCCTTGAGTACAGCTTGGCAACACCAGGATGACTCCAATCGAAGCCCATGGATGGCAGCAAGTGTCCAAGGAGGTCTGATTTGGTCACTGTCCCATCAATGTCCGAAATGACTAATCGGCACGTCCAGTGTATCACATAGATGTATGCCTGCACTGTATGTGTGCCGCCTATGTGGAAAACAACGGTGTTCTGCCCCTCAACCAAATTCAAACAGTCAAGCTGCTCTCCAGTTGGTGTTAGTGTCTTCTTGGTTACCACCCTGTGTTTCTTCCGCATCTTCTGGGTCTCTTGCCTGGACTCTGGCGTCCTGTCCCCTGTTGACATGCTGTCATCAAGGGCTTCTGACAAGTCAGGGATGCTCTGTACGTCAGACCTTGGTGATGCAGGATTCTGAGACTCTGCAGCATCCAGATCGCCCGTTGAGGTCCACCAGAACGGCCATATCATCCAACTGCTGGACACCTGCCAACCAATCCAACAGTGCGTTTATGTTCCCCACCGCAAACAGCACAGGTCCACATTCTTCCCAGCAAGATATTTTCTTCCAACAGAATGCATTATGGTATCTTCATCTGCAACAAGTGTCCAACGCAAAGATGTCAAAGATGTCCTTACCTTCCTGCTTGCAGTACTTGTTTTGCCTTCCTCAGCGGCGTCCGTTGGTCCTGTGGGAATTGCTGCGCCGGGTTGGATCAAATTGTCCCATCTTCCTCCAAAAGCCAACATACCCAGAACCATGGGTGCCGCAGCACTCCAAGGGTAAAGCATGCCTCCTGTCCTGCAGACAAGTCTCCTGGACTGGGCCAGTCTCACCCCCTCCACTGAGAATTGTTCCTGCCAGCCCAAAACTCACTGTCAAAATACCTCCAGGATGTAGCTTCCCAAGCAGGGAACAGTGCTAGCTCAGTATGTGCCTGAGGGCAAGCTTCAGCTACACCACTCATTCAAAACAACTATGGAACTTGAACTGCCGTACAATTCATGATCAACTGCAACACAGGGGGGCAGCGTTTCCAACGGACAGCCAAGCCCTTAAACTGCGCACAGGGTAGCACGAAGACACAGCAGTCTGTGTGCCTGCATATTGTGCTGCTCACTTCCACAGTTGCTCAGGTTGCTCAGCTGCCCAGGTCGCTCAGTTGCGCAAGCAGCAATAGCAAGTGTGGGCAAGTGGCAAGGACTCCACCATTCTAATTCTACGCCCCACAAGTCTGCTTCACATCCCCACCTCCAGAGTGTGACTGGCTAAACACGCAGAGGTAGCTATGCAAAGATGCAGCACAGCCAACAGCACAGCCAACAGCACAGCCAACAGCACAGCCAACAGCACAGCCAACAGCACAGCCAACAGCACAGCCAACAGCACAGCCAACAGCACAGCCAACAGCACAGCCAACAGCACAGCCAATAGTCCCACCTGTGTGATCCGATTTTCCTCGAATGCGGTCCTTGCTTCTTTGGGTGTCATGCCAGGACGCAACAGATGTCCACACAAAGACAACTCAAACCCCTGCAATCCAGAGAGCCCTTCGGGCACCCCTTTACAGTGCGATCCAGAGGGAGACTTGGGCTGATCATTGTCACCCAGGTAGCCATCATTCTGTGGATCCATAATCTCCAGATCTTTAAGTGGCAAGGCTGTAGGTGCACTATGTCCCAGAACTTTCTTTGAAGCAGCTGATTGATGCTGCTCCCCCAGGTCAACAATTGATGGTACAGAGCGGCTTCTTTTCCAGGCACTTGTCCTTGATTGCCCCTGACGAGCAGGTCCCACAGACAAAGAGCGCGGCAGCACATTCAGATCTTCAGCGTCTGCTGGCAAAGATCCAGAGGCTTCTGTTTGTTGGCATTGGTGTGCAGCGGGCAAGTGCAGTTCCCTGCCTGTCTTGATAGATAGCACTTCAGCCTCCTTTCCCTCAGCACTTCCGGTAGGGGCATTGTCGATGGCCCATTGGACTTGTCGTTCCCCACTTGCACTCCTTTCCTTGTTCTCTACCTGCTGATCATACAAAATGGGCTTCTCCATTCTAATCCTCCTGTTTTGTTTTCTGCTTCTTCTGCCCTGTTTTGGTGTTTCAGTTCTTGTGTGATCGCTGACCCAGTGCCTGACCTTCCCCTTCTCGGGCAAATTCTCCTGTCCAACAGCAGCATAAGCACTGCTGGCAAAGCACTGATCGTTCACTGATGTGAGCTTGGGATCTCTACCCTCAGATGTTACCTCCCAGTCAGGACTTCCAGCAAGCTTCTCCACCACAAGGCCATGTTCACGATCTGGACACCTGCCAATCTCTTCTTCTGCGATGGCCCATGGCGATTCTGCGCTGATGGGCTCATTGCCAGCATCCAGACTTTCCTCTGATCCAGCAGGCGCCCCAATCCTGTCAGAACCTTCACTTCGGTCATCAACATTTGAGACGTGTGTTCTTGAGGAATTGTTACTTGAGTTGGCGATTGCTTCCAACTGCTCCTTGTCACTCAATGGAGCAGCTTGTGAAGCATCCATAGGCTCCAAACGATCAGCATCAGATCCATCTGCAGTGCCACAGGGCTCCACTTCTTCAGGTTCCTCCACAGGACCAGGCATAGTCTGCGCCAAACCTGCGAACACAACACAACAACTGTGAGCTCAGCACCAGCCACAGCAACTCATCGAAAGGACTACAACTGCAGGGAGCAAGTGAATAGCTGGACACAAGGTTGACAAAGTGCACTGCAAACCATTGCAATGTGCTTGCCAGCTTTCACTTCACAGCACTGGGGATGACCATACAAAGAGCTGTTCGCACCTTCCTCATAGAGTGCCTGAAGAGATGTTTCCTGTCCATCAGTAGAATCAGCCGGAGCTGAAACCAGCTGCTGTGAATGATGACCATTCTTTCGAAGGCGCCCCACCTCCGACCGAACAGACTCCACCAACTCCTTGCTTGCATATGGCGCATCAGGCTCACCCGATGAATAGCCACTGGGTGGGGAAATCATTCCAGAAAGGGCAACATCCTCTTGTGGGTCTGCAGCAGGCATGGCCAAGAAGTCAGCAGCATCCAACGCTCACCCCAGTTCATCTTGCCTTTTGCATCGACGTGAGATTCTGACAGCAGAATGAAACCTGCAGTCCTATTTTCTGAATATTCAACAGCTTGGACAACATACAAGGACAGCAACAATCGGCAAGCTCTGGATGCATTCAAAGTAGCAAACCCCAGCTGATGCATACCATTGCACACCTCTGTGAGTTCCGCAATAAAATAAGCTTGGCCGTAGCTCCCCAGATGCATATGGACAGACGTTTCCTCACCTTTGAAAGCAAAACAAACAGAGCTGAGCAGCCAACCTGCTGACTGTGGGTGCAAGGTGCAAGGGCAAATCAATGGCACAGGGGAAACACACCCAAGGCAAACAATAACTCAGTTGGACATTGCAACCATCAGGTCAATCGACCAGGTGCAGTGACTAATGACGGTGTTAAGCAGGCGTGCCGACCACAAGGCATCCGCAGATGCCCAAGTTCACTCGAATGTTCGGCAAAGGCAATGTGTTATCAACATCCAGTTATGCTCTGATACAGGTAATGGCATACCATGCCAAGGAAGGGGCAGATGACCTCAATAACAAACAGACAGTGGGAATGGAAGGAGCGCAGATGGTGCTCTCTGGAAACCACACTCACCATTTACACTGATGCGCACTGTATGGTCTCGTGTCCTCAATGCTGTGTATTTGCCAAAGCGAACTGCAAGGGGCAGGTACACATGTCTGCATCAGCTTTCCACCCAGAAGCACCGACCCCAAGTGAAACAGGTGACTCCCATTAACTCTGTGACAAGATTCCATCAACGCCGCACCACCTCATTCCGACAGCTTCTGCCAAGTACCTCAATTGCACCTTTCGCAAACTGTTACAACATGCACAGACAAATCAATGGGTGCCAGCAAGTGTCCCGCACCGCGACTGGCACGCTGCGCACCTCTGCTTTGGCAGAAAATCATCGCCCCGTTTCGAGCGGTCTATTTTATGCTGACAACCAACTTATGTTAATGATCCAGGACAGCACCGCAGTTCACAACGACGCCATTGCCGGCCGCCGCCGGTGCACCGCCTTCCGCACCCACCGTAGAAAGGCGTGCTTTTCAGCGTGTCGTCAGGCTGCCGAACGACGACGATGTCCACGGCGCCCGCGAAATGAGGCGTGATTGCGTTCACGCCATTCATGAACGCGCTCCCGCTGTACACCACGCCGCTCTGTGGGGGCACATCGACGCCGTCAGTGAGGTAGCGGTCGCCGACGCAACGTACGCCATCCCCCCAGGCCCCCGGCCCCGACAGCGCGGCCCAAAGGCGCAGGCGGGGCACACCTTGAGGGCGCTGGCCGCCCTTCCAGCCTTGGTGGACATCCCGCCTCCCGCCCTCCGCGAGGGCGCCCCTCCCGCCCGCTCCTCCGCGCTTCTGCTCTCTCCACCGCAGGGCAGGCCCCGCAGTCGCGAGCAGGCGGGCCGCGCTCAGGCTGTCCGCAGACGCACGCGTCCGCGTCTCACACCCACATCGCCCCTTGGGCCGCAAAGACCACCAGAATATCCGCATCACTGCCAGGTCAGACGGCGCCTGTCATGGTCGTCCATCCCCCGTCGGCCCCGTTGCGCACAGGGCCACAAGGCCCGCCTTGTGCGTATCAGCGCGCCCCGCAAAAGTGCTGCTCCGTGGCTGGCGCGGACGGGGACCATGCAGATTGCTCCGGCCTCGGGGAAGCGGGCGGCCGCGCTGGCCGCGCCGCCGCCTGCGGCCATCGGGCAGGAGCGGCGCGCGGGCCGGCATCGCGATCGCGGGCTGCGCGGCAATGTGTGGATGTCTGCGGCCACGACTGGGAAGCCCGCGCAGGTGAGGGGAGGCAGCGACCTGATCGTTGCTACCCATTGGCCCCAGCTGTGCAGCCCAGCCGGCGGCTGCTGAATGAAGCCTGTGTTGGGGGGTGGTGACGCTGCACCGCTGGGGTGGCCTTCGGACCTGCATCATACCAGGCTGTGATCAAGGGTGTGTTCAACATTTGGAAGATGCCATGATGTTTGATCGGCTCGCAGATGACCTCTCCTATACGCTAACATGCCGCTCAAGCAGGAGTGAGCGTTTTGGGACCGTGGGGGATATAAGGGAAGACACTGTGTCTGATTTCGGTACGCTTAACGTCAAATGGACGCAAAGGAGGGGGGTCCAGGCCACGGACGCTGAGAGGTTAGGTAATTGCGCCAAAATCAAAAATGGTTGGGAAGATGCACAACAACGCCACTGATCAACGGTAGACAGCTCATGACTGGGTCGAAAACCACTCAAAGTTCAAGCTTCAGGGAAGTCTTGAGAATGCATCGATTTACAGCCTTTGGGGCAGCTCCCATCGTTTACTATGGCTTTGCTGCATTTTTTTGGCTGCTTTTCCCCTTAAGAATAACTTGAAATTGTATCACATTGTAATGTAATGTTGCTGAATAATCATGGCAACGAGATAAGGATTGACGCTTAGCAAGATGTTCTGAGCTTAGCGTCTACCTGACACTAAGCATACCGAATTCAAACAAGTCCGAGAAATTAACATCGTTCTGGAGCAGCGGGTTGAGCACAACAGCATGGATGATAGTGCCGGAGGATACCAGAATTCTGTGACATATAGGAAGCGATACCTACCAAGATTTTGAGCGCGATTCCAGTAAAATGGGAGGTTGTCACCCTGACCCAGGCATATCTGGTAAAAGAAATCGGATGATGGAGCAGGCTGGAATGGATATGTCATGTGATCAAAAGGTGGATGCAAAATACAAGCGATGAAATGCACACCTTTCCAAACAACTGCTACAGCCCAGCACCAGCTCTGGGCAATCTCCATTTGTTTGCAGAGCACGTGGGTTGCTTTGAAGCTTTGCTCTCGTGGCGGCAGGGACGCACAGCGGGCACGGCGGAGATACAGACAAACAAGCGTGGTTCAATCGACACCAATCCACCCAGAGGTGCGTGGAGCACTTTAATCAAGTACTACTGACCTCGTTTTCGACAGTGCATTGCACCTGAATGTGTTCGATGGATGTTGGTGAAGTCAGAGCAGGAGCAACTTGCCAAAGCCATCTGTTTTGTACAGTGGACACATTTCTCTGTTGCCAAACTGCTGTTATCGAGGACTTATCCACAACAATCCCAAAGCCCAACACCAGCAGATGTTGGTCGTGAAGTAAGCATCGACGAATTTGTTATCGGCTTCCAACTATTCAATGCAGGAGTTGAGAGTATGTGTTGCATGGGCTGGCGATGTTGGGATCCAGCACCTGCAGTGAGTAGCAGCCTGCATGCATCCCTTGCGCCTATGGTTCATGGAACTAACATAAAGTCCTGTCTAAGATAGTTGAAAGTTGTTGTCCATATGTGAGCAACGTTTTATCTTCTCAGCTTCCAACTCAGCAAAATGGACACCGGTGGTTGCCATGCACCTAGGTGGTCATGCAACAGGCATTTGATGGATAGGAGAATTTTTTCAGACAGACTTGTTGAACATGCTTGAAAGCAGAACTGATCAGGAGAAACTGAAACCGTGTCAAATGTTGCGAATACGCAGCAGTCTCATTTTCTTTGCAACTTGGATAAGTTGCAGTATTGCACTTTGGCAACCTTCTGCATCCCAAATATCCCTGGCTTTCTCGCTATCTCTGGTATGAATCGGACATTTTTGTATTCCAAGGAAGTTGCTTTCATTCAACAACTCTTGTCTCAACTGCCCTTTCCAGAGAGGCTCTTTGGTGAACAAATGGTTGTGAGTTTTGCTTAAGGCGAAGTACCATGGCCATGTGTTCCTTCTGCACCTCTCAATAGCAGGTGGGAAAGGGGCTGTGGTCCTTTGACTGGTGTCTTGTAGTCTGTTTGGGCAACTGTGGCCCACACTGTTCCCAGTACCAGTTAGACGTGTTTCCTGTCAACAGTTGTTTCCTGGCAACCACAGGAACTTGACAACAACACAATACATACCATTTTCCCTAGTCCCCACCGATCCTGCCTTGATATGTTGTTTTTGGTTCTCCCTGATTGATGTTCTTGTTGCCCAGGTACAAGGGATTTCTTCCCCCAGGACATGAGACTACGCAACTGGCTGTTCGATCACTTCAGGTCTGTGAGCAGTGCATTTGGTTTTGAGGAGTTTGACAGCCCAGTGCTGGAGTCAGAGGACCTTTTTGTGCGAAAGGCTGGAGAAGATATCACGGACCAGCTGTACAATTTTGAGGTGGGCATCAGCAGGCAAAGCCATACATGTAGCATCGTCTTATGAGAGTTCAAGGAAATGAGCGAATTGCCTTGTGTACAAAGCGATCTTGTTGGCCAAACATTGCTGTTTTACCAATGGAGATGCCCAACCTCTTAAGATTGTGTAGGACGTGTTGTTGCTGCATACCTTCCTGGCAGAAGGTTATGGTTGACAGACTGGAGGTACAAGACACAGGTCGTTTGTAGTCACAACACTGAGACCACAGATATGTTTTTTTTTTGCATCTTTGAATCGCCTGCAACACCCCAACAGTGCTGCTCTGGTCCCAAGCTGACAACAGTGCATGCATTTGCTTCTCACTGGCACTACTTTTTACATGTTGCCAGGAAATTGGCACGGTTCAGAGCCTAGTCGGCATAACTTTGAGAAACTCCTCCATGTATTCCAGAATGAAAGAACTGGCAAGACAACAAACCAGTATCCATACCTGTTCTTTTGATCACTCCTTCAGATGCAGACAATGTATACAACAGAATCTTGTTTTGTACATAATGGTTGGTGCTGAATACTTCCTCCGTCCAAGAATAATTGTCCTCTACGACTATGGGGCACGACTTCTCCATCGCACCCAATCAGTTCTCAATGAAATTTCGCTCAAAGTTGTGCTTGTAAGTTTGTAGCATACTATCAAAAGTTCAAGTCAATTCATTAAGTATTGAGGATTTGGCAGTTCTTTGTACCAGTGGTCTTTTGCCTGGTGAACCTTGGTATTTCGGGTCGAAAATGACCAAAATTTACCTTTCCCCTAATACTCAAAGGGCTCGTGTCTCATTTTCTCTTCTTGAAAATTGGTAGTTAAGGGTTCTCCAACCTAAATTTTCCGTTCCTGAAACTTGTTTTCTAATTTTGAGGCAGTCCTTGTAATGAATTCTGTCTTTTAAATAGAGGACAATTAATCTTGGACAGAGGAAGTAGTTGTTTATTTATTTGTTCGACTTTTTCAATGATTGTACCTTACTTCTCACAATTTATAAATTCTTCTTTGCAACAGAATAGCACCAAGTCGTTTTCTAGTGTGCAGCATGGAGATGAGGGGAAAGAGCGAGGGGTAGTGCTGCGGCCTTGCTAAGCATGTTGTCAGTACTTTAGCGTTACTGTATTGCTGACATCGTGCCATGTTGAAACACAACTGCGCAGGACAAGGGTGGCAGACGTGTGGCCCTTCGTCCAGAGTTGACACCCTCTCTAGCTCGAATGGTGTTGAGCAAAGGCAAGGGTTTGCTCCTACCAGCAAAATGGTTTGCTGTTGGGCAGTGCTGGCGCTATGAGCGCACAACAAGGGGCAGGCGGAGGGAGCACTACCAGTGGAACATGGACATCATTGGTGTAGAGGGACAAGAGGCAGAGGCAGAACTGCTGGCAGCCATAACAATGTTCTTCGAGCGAGTGGGGCTGGGGCCAGAGGATGTGCAGATCCGAATTTCAAGCAGGAAGGTGCTTGAGGGTGTGTTACGGCGGTGAGGTTGCCAAGGACGCACTTGGGTTCGCAAAATACAGAGCTTACGCGCGATTGCTGTGCATCTTTGTTGCGGCCGTGTGTTTATTGCTGTGTGTCAGATAACTACATATGCAGTTGCAGCGCCTGGGGAGCGCTCACTTGGGTTGTCAGCATCGGTGCTGATATGTTGCAAATTGTGTTGCTCTTTTGACACTGCTCGCACTGAAAGCATTTGGAAATTGCCTTTCTTAGGGGAACAGTGATTGGATCTGTGGCCACTGATTGGGTACTGAGACATGGCCACATGGCAGTCTGTAATTTTCTGCTTCCATCCTTTAGTTCCTTGTATTTTCATGGGATGCTGCTGGCTTGCCTGCTGGCTGTGCGGCTCAGGCATGGCACATGGAGTATGGAAACATTTGTGCATAACTAAACTGATGTTTGAGAAGATTTGACACTGCAACACAAAGGCTCTGCTGAGGAGTAGTGGTGTGTGAGAGTGGGAAATTGACTGCTGGTCAGGTACAATGTTCCTGTTGAGTCTTTTGGGCCAGTATGCGTTGTGGTGGACAAGATTGACAAGCTGCCTGAACAGGAAGTTGTAAGGCAACTATCAAACCTTGGACTCGACTCTGAAGCTGTCAATGGTGTTCTCAGTGCCACTGAGGCAAGGTAATACTCACAACAATGATTCACACCCTGCAGTTCTGATTCCTGTCACACCTGTGCGTTGGTCCATGTCAAGAGTGTCATGATGTAGTGATGCTGCCAGAAGTGATGTGATTTCTGCACTCTCTGCGAAGCATACAATGCTTCTCTAAGGCTCCTAAGGGCTGCCTGTAACATTTGCACTTTCTTTTTGCACATTTTGATTATCACGTTGAAATGCTTGGGTTTGCATACCTCCAGCATCCAGAGTGGGGCATCAGGAATCATGCCTGCAGTGGGTTATTCAAACAAATGACGTGCTGTCATCGTGGAATCTCACCATGATATAGACTGCTCAATAGTGAGCCAATCCTGTGCTTATTCTGGCCAAGAATGGCAGTTCTTGCTTGAGAGGTGCGCAATTAAGTCGGATACCCTTTCTCAAGTTGGGTGGTTGCTGCATGGTCTGTTTGTTCAAATATCATGTCAACAGCTGTCTGAAAGGCAAGAATGCAGTTTGCAAGACAGCTGCAGATGCTGCTCTCCGCTCTTGTTGGCCAAACAATTAAACAATGATCACATTTTCCATTCCACCGCTCTGCTGTCAGCTTGTGTCGCAAGAACGAGTGACTGTCAAGCTGCTGCCAACAGGTCAATGCCTGAACTGCAGGAGCTTCTTGGCAGTGACAGCGAAGCTGTCAAGGAAATGGTCAACTTATTTGGACTTGCTGATGGGTATGGCATCAAGGACTGGCTTACGCTTGACACCAGTGTGGTGCGAGGATTGGCATACTACACAGGTAAATTGCACATATTTGGAGTTTGTCCCACATCGCGCAACTGGCAGTTGCGCACAGGGGGTGGATCAGTCTCCTACTGATGGCGGTGCTCTGCATATGCCATAGGGCATGAGAATGGCCATAGCTTTCCAGAGTTTCATTGGCACTGGAGAAAGAATACAACCACTTGTTACAGCAGGCCTCAGATTATCCAGAACATTGGCATGCTGTGTGCGCTTGGGAATGCTGTTTCAGTACAAGCAGACGGGGTGACGTCGCATTGCATACTGTACCGTAAAATTTATCAAGTGCTGTAGACACTGAAAATATGTCTTCTTTGCCACTCCGTACAAACACCAAGCTCTATTTGGCTTGTGCATGTTCTTGTTACAGCATCTGTTGTTGCCTGGGGCCAATAACGTTGTATTTTGCATTGCATATAATGGTTAGCGTTCACTGCAAAGCAGCAATTTTGTCCTGGAGTAAATGTTACTTGTTTGTGGACAAATGACCTTTGCTGTGGACTCACCGGACTACCATTCTGCTGCTCTTTTGTGTGTGTGACGAGCAATGCCACTGACACTATTTGCATTGCAGTCTCACAAGTTTGAAAGTTCCCAGGAAGAGAATTGTTGTGCTTCAACAGATCATTATCAGACTCGCATGGGTTTTTGGAAAGATCACTGCAATGGCACTGGAACTTTCTCAGAATACACTTGCATTGATATAGCAAGCATGCATCGAACTATACTGTATCTCAACAGATGATAACTCTGTGAAATAGACCAGCAGAAATTGCAATCAATCTGTGTGGCCATCTAACTCCTGCAGCATTTGATTCAGGCATCGTTTTTGAGGCCATCGATCGGCGTGGCATGTTGAGAGCCATCTGCGGAGGTGGGCGATACGACAGGATTATGGGCACCTTTGGGGGTGATAACCTTCCATGTGCTGGCTTCGGATTTGGAGACGCTGTGATTGTTGAGCTCCTCAAAGACAAGGGTCACCTGCCGGATCTGGACCACCAGGTGGAGCAATGGAATGCCAGTCAATTGTTGTAGAGTGGGAGCTTCACAACGCCTCTTCTGAAAAGTGTGGAAAAGGGGGGAAACAAAATGACTTTGGAATTTCGCTGAGCTGAAGACGACGGTGCAAGAGCTTGAACATGTCCAGTGAATATGTGCAGGTGATGGCATATCCCGAACATTTGCATTCGTGATGTATCCCAACCACTCCTTACATGCCACTTTCCACCATCTGTCCGTGTGTGATGCATCTTCCTTCCTCAGCAATGGAAGACCTTTTTTCCGAATGCTAATGTGTTTGGACATAGTGTTCCACTCTTGTCCAACCGGGTTGCTGTGAACCATCTGTGGTCAATTTTTGTGCGCTTGGTATATGTTGCACGGTATTTTGGCCGAGCATTGCTGGACTTGGTTGTGCAGCATCCTGGCGTGAATTCATTCACACGAGTTATGCTTGATATTCTTTGTTCTTCGAAGGTGGATGACGTCGTTGTAGCCCTCGATGAGTCACTGCGACCCCAAGCCAGTGGATTGGCTAATTCGCTGCGAAAAACCGGAAGAACCGTCGATCTGGTGCTGGAAGAAAAGAAAATGAAGTGGATTTTCAGGGTGAGATATAGTGACTGTATTGTCATATTGTCATGCTCCGTTCTGCTCCGTCTTTTAGTCAGGCCAATGTCTAATGTGCGCTGAAATTCAGTGACTGAACGTAACTGACGGTATCTGCATGTGGTGGATGCAGCACGCTGAGAGGTTATCTGCCAAACGTCTTGTCATTGTCGGAGCTACGGAGTGGGAGCGTGGCTGTGTGAGAGTGAAGCAACTGGCGAAACGAGAAGAATCAGATGTTCCTGTCCAACAATTGTGCTCAGTCAGCAGTGACGAGGCGTTTGAATGAGAGTTGCTGGGAGAAGGAGAGTTGGGAAATCATACGTTTTGCTGCAGGAGTGCGATTCACATCACAGCGAATCGCAAAAGGAAATGACGCCAGTGTTTGCCACCACGATGCATGATGATTGCCTTACTCATCTGCTGGTGGTGTCCGCAAAGGGATTGCAGGCATGGAAGTGTATTTGAAAGTCCTTTAATTATAGCATTTCCGCCAAGCCGGGCTCCTTGTCCCGCCCAGGTCCACACACACACTGGACCAATACATTACAAAGACAGCAGTGTTTGTCCCAAACAACCCGAGATACCCACAACTTGTGTGCCCAGTCGCTTCGCTAGTAGTTAAGCCAGTCCCATACAAGACTCATCCGTGAGTCAGTCCCACCACTCCTCGTTCCCTCGTACTTAACTCCCACACTTGCCCCATCACAACCGAACATCACCCTAATAGGGAGGGCCGGGCGGGAAGCGAAACAAGATAGAGTGGGGACCGAGGGGTGAGCCTAAAAAGCCTCCCCGCGCGCGCCCGCCAAAGCCCGTCGCTCCCTAGGGCGCCAAAATCCCCTGGCCCTCCTTGAACGCGACGAACTGGCCACTGACCCAAGGTACAGGGGGACAGAAACCCCCGGGGTCCGCCAAAACAACAATACTTAAGCACCACTGGTCCAACAGGAGCCAGCGCGCCCGCCCCTCGTCGCCCTGGGCGGAAACCTATTAACAGGATAGTTAATCCCATATCCACATAGCGTCATTGTCAAAGGAGAGATGATGCCAAATGCGTCTGCCCTGATTGGAGAAATTGAAATGCCTCCTCCGAATCCCATCACATAGGTGATGAGCTTGTGGGCACTATGTCGACACTGTTGACCGCAACGCCATCCAAAACCAAGGCACATTCCTACAAGGCATGGACGGCGTTCATTCAGGGCATGCGTGCAAGCCCTGTGCTGTCATCCGTTGTCTTCTGGGCTCAACGACGATTCCTTCTGCATCATTCTGCAATAGAGCCTATGCTGAGGAGCAGGCACACCTCATGAGCTGTTTTAGGCATCGGCAACCCGGCTGGTCTGGTCAATTCCTTTCAAGTGTTCAGTTTGGTTGCAATTACTAGGCCACAACTGGACGAGCTAGCTCGGCGTGAGAAATGCACGTCGCGCTGTATGCTTTCTGGATTGTTCGGTCCCCATCGAATCTGTGTGCAGCTCATACTACCATAGCATAAAGCGCACCGAACAGATGAAGAAAGGACGAGCAGCCGTTGCACATGGCAGACAGCAGGAATGCAGCTCCTCAGGGTGCCACTGCTTGCACGCACGTACGTAGGTGTGTCACCAAGCGAGCCGTCCTTCAAAGTCGCTAAGCTCTGTTGACTGTGAAGTGACTCTATAATCGCACGTTTGCCAGTTTCTAAAGCGGTGTGAATGGAACGACAAAAGGCTGTAAGTATAGTATGGATGGCAAGCAGCTATATGCAAGCGACACGCGGCGCTTGATTAGCACTGGCGGTGCTCGCTGCTCACCATGCGCCGGAATCCCGTGAGGAACAAATACCGGCTGTCGTGGATGTGCGCCCCTGTAAACCGACACTTCCAGACTGGCGGGCCAGTTTGGGGGGGACAGCAGAATATCGCCTGGCACACAGAATGTTCTCCATGACATGGGGGTGGGTGGGTGGAGTGTGGGGGGGCTGAATTTCCGCGGTAGAGTCAATCCAATGTGAACGCGTGGCCCGCAGAGTGGACAATTGCCAACACTGAGATGGAGAAGCGCATTGGCGGAAAGGAACGTGGGCGTTTTGTGGGGCACCCCGAACATCCCAAGCAGCGCCAGGGGATTGTTCCCAATATTTCTCTGGGCGCCGTTTGGGAGCGGCGCGGGTTGGCAACTGGATCACGGAGCCGGAACAAAAGAGGGCAGCGCCCCGCAAGGGAAGCACGAGCCCGCTGCTCGTGGCACCCGTGGCAGCACAAATTGCAGCTGTGAACCGACAGTTTGCTGCGTCCAACAAAAGAATAACGCACGCACCATGAAGTGGTTGACGGCAACTTCCTAGCACCCAGTTGTAAACGCATCTTTTGAGGGAAGTTCTGTGCCGTGCGCCCTGTGCTGCATGGGTACCGTGTTGCAGGGGCGGCGGGCGACGCGAGGCCCCTGGAGTGCGTCGTGTGTTTGGCGGGGAAACACGGAGTGGGCAAGCCCTCGAGTCCCCGACAGGCGATGAGTCAAGCTCTCAACGGTGAGCAAGTCTGGTCCGTCCTGGCGACGCCGACTCTGCCCGGACGGAAAATCGAATTGCGTTCGGTCGTCGGCATCTGGGCAGCTGATTGGCAGCGCCGCAGCGCGTCACTGGCCAAGCCGTTGCCGGAAATCGAACCTTGGAATGTGTTCGTCCAGCCCAGAGTCTGGCGGACGCGCAGGTCAGCGGGGCGCGGTTCAGCAGCGCAGAAAATGCGCACGTGCGGACAGGAGAAGTCGTCCGACACGCAAAAGGCAAAGGTTACGGGCACGAAGTCTTGCCTAAGACTGCCCGTGGTAGTACAGCACACAAAGGTAGTGCTTCCCAACATCATCACTGCTCATGGGCCATGTGCTGGAGCCATGGCAACCAGTCGTCAGAGGCAGAGACGGCATTGAGTGGCTAATGGAGGGCACTAAGTCGATTCTTTATACATTTAGAGTAAAGTTTGACGCTGGGGGCAAGGATGGGGTTTTCCAGATCTGTGATGCCAAAAACTCACAGAATTGCCGCAAAATCGACATGAGCTAAACGAGGCGGAGAGCGCCGCTAATCGGAGGCAAACAAGCCCCGACTTGCTTAAAACCTCTCTCGATCCCTAAGTCTTCATGGAGGCCCCAAATGGTCTCAAATGGCAATTTTCATCGCCATCCAAGGCCTCCAGAGACACTGATTTTGCTGCTGGCCCTGCGCAGGTCACTTGGTCATAACCCCTTGCGACACGGATGTCTGATGGAGAGCCAGATTTCATTGTCTTTGCCGAGATTGCTTCCGTGGTGGTTGCCGTTGCCCTTGCCTCATTCCTCATCTACAAGCTTGCGATGGTGCCCGCCATCAGCGCAACGAGGGAAGCCCCAGAGGGAAAGGGAGAAAAACACTATGCCCTAAATCACGCGGCCAAGACAGAGAATGACTATCTTACTTATTGTAGAAGGGAGGAAAGGGGCACCCAAACGAGCTTCACGCGCGGTCGTGGGAAACATCCATCCAATCTACACTATTTCCCAAGGAGAAACTGGGGAGCTTCAGGCGGAACGCTCTCCAGGGGTACTTCTGTCACGTCTGACCCTGGTGCTCCTTCGAAGAGATCCAAGAAATCCAGTGATTTTATGGGGATTGACAAAGTCATTCATTCCTCAATAGGGACTCAGGTGGTCGGGGATGTCCACGGAAATCAGTCCACGGATGTGCTCACTGACCGAGATGGCAATGACACAAATGCGATCTCCATCTCCACTGGTGATGTCAGATCGACTGGAGAATTCTGTTCAGCTGGAACGCTCTTTCCCCACGTGGGCCTGTCGGAGCCACCGCCAGAGTGTTTGCGGTTTCTTGACAGGGACAGAAGCGGCCGATTTTCAGCAAAGTGGGGTACACCTGACCAGAAGGACACCAAAATTTCTCGCATCAAGTCAATCCCTCAAATTGCCCAATGCTCACACCCCCCGACCTGCCAACAATGTCATCAGCTGGAACCTGATCCACACAACGCCCTGGGTGTGCTAATCATCGCTTCGGAGATTTCAAGGCAACCGCAAGAACTGCAGGTACCAGTTGTCCCAGCGGAGCACAGTAGATGCCATCAAGTGGGTTCAGAGATGTCCACTCTTGATGACGGTGACCACGGCGTGAGCCAGGACGACACGGCAGGCTCCGAGGGATGCACGCGAAGCCGAGGGGACTCTTTCCATTCCCAGTACGTCAACCCGGTGTTTTGGAATGAGCCACCCACTTGGATCAGGGACAGGATTATGGGAGGCGCTGTGCAGCAGTCTCCTGGACGCTCGGGCAACGCGACGGGCGACGCGTGTGTCACGCTGGTGGGGGAGACCTCCAACACGTATGTGGCGCCGCGTTCGAACCCTTTGTTCGCCGCCTCGCAGGCGTCGCAAGACACATCCCTACAAGGCGGAGCGACTGCCTCGGAGCAACGGATGGGGAATTGGAAGTCATCCCACGAGCGCGAAGATCGGGAGCCCGAATTCAGAGCGTTCCCCGCAGAGTTCCCCCCACTTCGTGGCGTGATGAGCCCCATGGTTGGCGTCAAGGTAGAGGCCAGAAGGGCTTCGAACCTGAAGGAAAAGATGATGTCAATGGATTCACTCTGATGTGCTGGGTGTTATTCCAAATCGCGCTTGGGTGGCGCGCAGAGCAGTGATGGGAGAGGGTGGTGGCGGCGAAGTCTTGGTATCCTCACGGGACAGGCTGTCCCTGTGGTATTCGCACTGGCGCTGCCAGGGTGTAGTTTGCGACAGTGATGGGGGGCTGTGCGCAGTGTTGGTGTCTTCTTTAAATGGCGATTGACGTTCACCAGCGGCAGTCTCCGAATGATGCGTGAGTCAGCACCAACGATCAACCTCATGGATGCTGCGCAGCCCCAGAAGTCAGTCGGAGGACATACATAAACTCCGTATGCCTGTGTGCATTGCTTGTGATAAGCGACAGTTACGCTATGGCCCTGCGGACCTGAGGCCCTTGGGAAATGCTGCTCCAGCACCTCAGTTAATTTGCTAAGCTCGGAAATAGCCCCTGCGTGGACCGAATATGAGCGCCATTAGCAGCAAATGCGCCATCCACTATCAGCAGTGCCTCTAGCAAGATCTGTGGGAGGACACCATCTTCAGAGAATGCAAGAGCTCTTGCAGCTCGACATGACAAGACACTCGAGCGTCATGCCGCTCGACATGTGCATTATGAATTTCAAACATACACGCATGGATTCCATGTCTGTTGTACCATACAAACCTCCGCACCGAAGGTGTTTTCAATTGGAAGTCATTCTGTCGTTCCGATGAAATAGCTGACCATTCGTGGTTCTATGTCGAACCGGGTTCAGCCGAACTATGGTACTGAGCTGGTGCGAACGGTGACTAGCAGTTCAGTAAGGCCAGTATACCATTGACTCAAAGTGAACTCAAAATTTCCAGGTCATGCCCAAATGAACAGCAAAATTGCAGAACTCCTTCCTGCACCAAGTGGATCTGCCAGGTCTCTTGATTTGCCGAACTGGACACACGCGAAGTGACAGCAACAGAGCCAAACTTCGGACGAAGTCAAAAGTGGGCAGTGAAGCACCCAACTTCAGGGCAACAACGCCCTAATCAAGGTCACACCAGTGTTGCTTGCGCTGCGCTGTGGTCAAAAGATGTATACTTCCAGAATTCTGTGTTGCCCAGACCATGATAAATAACGAACTGGGGATCCGTGCAAACTCCATTACCATTACTTCCAGCCACATATCTCCGCACAGGTAAAAAAGCTGACCCTATCGTTCCTCGTGGAAGGAGGGGCCACAACCAATTCCCCATCAAATAAACACACAACTGGATTGCAACTTCCAACACCATGCATCCATATGCGTTGACTAAAATAAATATCCACTGACAGCCACATTCACATGAGCCAAGCCATAGTCGGAGAAGCGCCTTCATGATTGTCCTATCGTTTCAATCATCAAATTGCCATTTCACCCACACCATTTCCTCTCCCTCTGTCAACTAACTGGCAATACTTCCTACTGCACAAGAGTAGGTTCATAAATGGAAGCTGCAAGACCAGGTTCGAGGCCCTTCGTCCGAATCTCATTTTGCATTCAGCTCCGATAGAAGAAACAGTCCTGAAACTGCAGATAGAGCACCCCGCGCTGTTCTGCCCATTGCTGAGCAGTCTGTCGATATTCTCAAGCCGAAAACGACGGATACCAAGTGCAACCCTTGGGAAAGGCTCCCAGTCCCGGATGGCAGCAATCCGACTTGGTACCGTACACTTGAAGCCCGCGCAGGGCGATCAACCGGTGACCTAGCTGCACTTCTGTCCTCTGCAAGGCATTGAGTGCCGCAGTGTAGTTCAGTTCGTTTGCTCCTGCCATCACCTCCCAATACGCATCACACACCTTGGGGAGGTTCTTGCACGTTCGCGTGAATACATCCGAGTGAGGAATCCAGCATTCACACTTGCAGTGGCGCTCCGGCGGCTGGGACGTGGTCCAGCGGTTGACGAAAGTGGCGTGTTGGGTGACCAAATCAAATGTCGAATCCTCAGGTGCGACCCCGTACTCGCCTATCACGATCGAGAGGGACTTCCAATGGAGGATCAATCGTTAACAAGGCACTCGCAAACACCAGCGGTGAGATTATCACGGGCGTCAGGCTGCGTGATGGAGCTATTCTCAACTGCATCCTTTATGAGCGCCATTCAGCAACACACGCTGTCCAACCGGCCAGTCAGCCCTTCGTTGTGACTGCTTTAAAGTTACCAAGCAAAGCTACTGTGGAGGAAAGTCAATAGGGCTGCATGATACTACCAGTTGAGATCAAGGCATGAAGTTCTTATCCTGTTCTGAGTGCATTAGCACAAAAATGCAGACAACAGCTGTTATGTCACGCATTCAACAGCAGATTGCTGTTGAAAAAATTTTCTGCCAAATCTCCGGCTTAATTCGAGCCCCCACAGAAACTACCGTCTAAATTACCATTGCCCAAGAAAATAAATGCGCAACGAGCTGTTGTCATGATGTGGTTTCCAACACAAAATTTCAGGCGTTCAAGTAACGCTTTCAATTTCGGCAACCTGACAGAGTTATCGCCCAGAAAACCCCCAGTACACAGCCATCGCAAGTCACACGAGAACCAACGTATCGAATCGTGTGACGAGATACACTGCTCGCCAACAACCATTGCTGAGCTCTCACCTCTTCCCGCTCCTTCAAACATTGGCAGGTCCCACCTCCAGAAGATGGAGCCCCCGGTCGCCAGGCCATTTACCAACGATTTCTCGATGGCGGAATAAGTTTCCTGAAACACCGGGTCGCGGAGTCTCAAAATGTTATCCAGGTGGCGTCCGTCAATTGGAAGCTTCTTGCCTGCAGACGTGAAACGTCAGGAGATCAGAGACCAAGGGTTTCGAACAAACAGGTCTCAACCTGAACTCTGAATTAAATTCTGGAGCGGTGTATGGAGGAACACCAGCATCGCACAGCGGGTTGGCAGCACTTCTGATCTCAATTTGAAGTTGTGTCATTGCCACGTGAATTGTGTGCATGAAAATTTCAGGAAATGAATTGGACAGCATAATTCCCGTGGGCTTGATGACAGATTAGAACTTCTATGCTTGGATATTGCAAACAATGGTCCAAGACCGTTTGATGATACCAAATTTGCGAATTTATGTGACTTGATGCATAGCAACTCAGCGGTTGGGATGTGCCATTATCTTGGGTTAGCACGGAACAAATCATAGACACTGCTTTTGCTCGGACGAAATAGGGACATGATGGCTACCTCCTCGCCATGATGCCTAATATGTAATGATAATGATAATGATGAACAGCGGGGAATGTAGTCCATGGCACAAAAATCTTTTCGTGTGCTGCATTGCACATGGCCAACTGTACGTGAGCCATCCATTGGATAACACGTCGCAAGCTAGGACGGAAATATCTACTTGCACAATAGAACGCCAGGGCACAACGTCCATCATCGAGATAATTGCGCGACAAGATACGGTGGATCTATAAGAAACAGAGATATAAATGGGTAGCTATTCGACGACGCTCAACACTAAAATACTGAAAAATAGCGCAAACATGTAGGCGATTTTGCAGGTGAAGACTGTACCTCAAGCACAAAGCGACAAAAATATGTACGATGCCGCGCGGTGACAAACCCCATGTATGTGCACAATTCCAGAGCGTTCTCTTGTCCAAACGCCTCCATAGCGAAATAAGGTCATAGTGGCACACGCTATAGCATTAACGCTTACTTGATATATTGTATAGAACATGCGCATAGCGGGTTACCCGCCTCACTAGCAACAAGAGGGTCCACGTGTACCTTGCCAGGAGCTCATCAACACATAAAAGACATTTCAACTGCACGTGAAATGCAATCGAAATATCCCGCATTTCGTGCGCAAAGGCGCTGAACAGGAGAGGAACGAAGTGAAGACAATTCCTGCTTCCGTACCGAAGCAGGAATTGTTCTCACTTCGTTTCCCTTCTGTGGCAACAGCACTGGTGCTGTTACATGAACAATTCATAGTGCACAGGTACGCACAGCCCTGCCAAGACAGCCAAGTCCCAACAATGGCAACGTTCGAATCGATACACTTCATGAACAGGTTGGGAAATCTGTGATTGTAGAATGTGTGAGATATTGCACTCAATGGGACTGAAATCTGCAGAGGTGAACAACGAAATGTGCACAAAAAACAGTATCGCAGGGCACACAGTTCGCGATAACACATTAACCTGAAAGATATACACTCACGGACCTCCTTTAATACACTGTGCACCAAGCCGTGCTAGGCATCTAACCAAACTCACCGAATTCCTCAACCACCATCGGCTTATGCAGGACTCGGGCCGATATATCTGCAAGGCCCAAAATCCATTTCGCTTGGAACTCGTCATCATGCCTGCATCCCAGACATGGCACATGTGAAAAGGCCGACTCGTGGCAATCGGCAATATCCACTGTAGCAGTGGTCAATCGGACTGCAGGAGCATATGGCTGACTGCAACACCAGCAGTGGCCAGAGGAAATGCAAATCACCATTGTGCTGCACAATTTAATATGGAAGGTCTTGGCAATTCTCACAAGAAGCAACTTGCAGCTATTGCAGACCATCGGCAATTAAAGCATGTTACCTGTCCCAGTGATCCGGCCACACATGGATAGTTGAGAAGTCAATTCCCTTTACTGCGTTGTTGGAGACGAAGTCTTGCCCCATGTCCCCCGCCCAGCTCTTTGGATTCATGTGTGCCAGAGATGAGCTAGAGCCAAAGAATCCCTCTGATCCTATTGTGACCAAATGGTTTGGGTCCACCTCTTTGACGTAGGCGGACATTACTTCTATCCAATTCTGCGGCACAAAACACATTGGTCAGCGATCCACCGATCATCCCTCTTGTGCCAGACGCAGATAGATCTCCACCTTTAGAATCCGTTGGGAATTCTCATGTCACGGTTTCCTGCCGCCCGATGCTCATGGGCAGTTGAAAAGCACCGCAATCCCACAAAGCGACATTTCCTACCAGACAGCGCACTGTCTCAGCGAATGTTTTTTTCTTCTTTTTTTTGCTTTCGCCTTCACCTGGAGAATGGCTTCGCACTGCGGTACGCTCCACGTTTCGCAGCGTGGCTCATTGAGCAGTTCCCAAGCCATGATGGTGGGGTCGTCCTTATACAATCGCCTGGGCACACGATAAATCCAGCACAGCAAAATTGGAATGCAGGGAGGATGTGCAACATGTGATTTGCAGTGGGCATAGCGAATTTCGGTTTGGGCCATACAATATCTGCGGAGATCTGTAGTTTTCCAGTTATTCCTCAGAGCCACACTCAGCCAATTTCTCCATTACCAAGATATTTAGCAAAGGGATCTCGTTCCAGGAAAAGAATGTGTGGTGGTGATACTGGTGCAAAAAATCCTAAACGTGGCCCTCACCCAGTGAACGTGTTTCTTCTATTGACAACGGCGTAGACATGGTTTTTGTAGAGATTCCGGCATGAGGTGTCGTTGAAGAACAGAGCGTGGCGCCTCAGCTCGTAGAGCTCCTGAGCTGCATCCTGGCCCCTCTGGAAACATCAGTGGCAATGGGTGTAAGGATGATACATCCTCCGAGCAATTGTATATATACAACCACTCACGGTGACTGCGGACTTCAAATGCTTCTGTGCAAACAGACTAAATGTCGAAGGAGTCGTTTGTGTTCGCAAACCTGGAATGCCCTGCCTTGCTGTGCACTGGACGCTTAGGGCATAAATACAGAACTAGCAGAACTGTGCAGGCAACGATGTATGGCGTTTATTGCATTCCATGGTAGACGTCGCATCTGCCGCACCTTAGGGTCAGGATCTCCCCAGTCGTGTGAAGGACGGGCTTGCGTTCGAGGTTCTGCTGTTGTGCTCCAATCGACGTACTGATCAACACCGTGCAGCACTGTGATTAATATCCATATGGCAACTACATGCATTGGCACTCACAGCAACGGGAACAGTTGTCAAGATTACGATGAAGCCGACCCAAAGCACTCTGTTTTACATCTTGGGTATCCCAGATCACTGGAACTTCCACCTTCTAACAGTTTAAATTGTCAGCAACGCGACCAACACAGCAAAATTCCAGAAACAATTTGGAAGCTTCCATATCACCCAATGTACCGAATCCACTCGTTGCGATACTACCTGATCTACCCCATTGTAGTACTTCCAGTTGTCAACAAGGCTAAGTAGAAGCTTTATGCCAGAGCGGCGCGCCTCCGCAATCACGAAGTCCAAGGCCTGAAAAGCTTGTTCGTTGTACACACCAGGACCTGTCTGAAAATTTGAAACCGGATTTGACAGCGTCAGTGACCAGCACTGCCACTACAAAGCCCCACCAGCCGTACATGTTCCTGAACAATAGAATCACCGCATGCGCTGCTGCAAACGCACTTTCTGCGGAAGGGTTCAGCGGCACAGCAATTTGCCATCACCGCACAATCCACACACACCATTTGAAAGCTTGTCGGTCGCCCTACAGCGTGGACGACGCTTGAAGCAACTGGAACAGTGACGCACCGACGAACATCGCTGCAGCAATGCTCATGCATCAACACTGGTGCGCCTTGACGTCATTACCGATGTCGCCTGAATTTTGCTACATAGACGTTGCCCCAGCGGCGCTTTGCATTCCCTCAATGGCAATTTTGCAATCGCGGCTGAAAAAAGGCCGTGCAATCACAAATGCAAGGCTAGAGCCATGTTGGTACGGCAAGAAGTAACTCCAACCTCGCTTTAAAACAACTCGGCTCTTGATCCTACCTGAAACGGAAATTTAGGGTCGTTTGTGTGAACCCACGTACGAACAACCGACAACCCTGCGGCCCCAGCTCTGGCAAACATATCCCGTATCTGCGTTTTGCCTCCTTTGCCATCTGCATTTTTCAACCAGAAAGTGAAAAATTGCCCACTGTGCTTATTGACAAGAGACCAATCGTCGGCAATTAGTCAACTTGGAGATATGCCCATCAGCTTGCCAGCAACGGCGGCCATCGAAATGAAACACGATACTTGATTTTTGTTGTCTCCATTGTCCAAACCAATTCCGCCCATGCTCGGGTGTCGAGATTTCCACTGCTGGTTCTCTGCAGGTGTTGGACTGATCGACAAATGGTCATATCAGGTGTACATTGCACGGAATCTTCCTGGCAGCCGAGGCCAAAATCCATCCACTGAATGCCGTGGGAGGTAGCAAACGCAGATAAGGGGAACGGCGAGAGCACAATATGGCGCTACCTGCAACATTGTAGTCTGACGGCGTGAGCAAGGCCGCTGTTACTGCGTCGTGTGTGTTGAAACCGGCGAAGTAGAAAGGGCGACAATCCTTGTAAAACTAGAATCAAACCACAGCACGGAGCTTCACAAGTCATCAGTAGGTGCACAGACGACACCAAAACAGCATTAGAAGGATCACATGTGCAGATGCTGCAGGCCCCTGTGTGTGAGGATTGCAAGGCATGACCTTGCAAAACACTCATTAGTGTATACTAAAGTTGGGCAGGGTCGGTTGCCAGTGAGTAAGGCCCACTGACCATGCATCCCCACTGCCACGAGCACAAACTATCTTGGAACCAGTGCTTTCTGTGCGCTTTTTGACATCTTGTCCAGTTGGCTTCTGCCAGCGGTCCGTTGCTCTTCGAATTTAGACGCCTTTCACTGCGTTCCTACATGGAGTCCGTGGTTTCGTTTTAGAAGTCCACCAAATAGTCGGGAGTGTTCAGTGTTCGCATTGACAGACTGGAAAATTGGAACAGAACTGCAATAAAAAAGGCGACTTTTTGGACGACAAATTCGACACCGGAGTTACCGCAGACTCTATTGTTTTCGAAACGAGCTTAACAACGGACATGCCGTGGATCTGCCACACCAGTGCACTGTGCTAATACAATGCTACATAAATTTGAAAACTCAGTTTCCACTAATAGACCACAAACACACGTTCAAAATTGATTAAGTTTTGGTGTCGAAGTTGGCAAAAGCACAATGGTTTACTCCTGCCACGGACACAAAAGAGTTGTTGGCTGAGAAGAGCATTCTTTGGCACCCTGCATACAAAACGAATGGCACATTAGATACTCCTGCTGATGTGATCTGATCACGCTACAGTAAAATCCAGCTATGGGTCCCATCATGCACAGCACAAGTACCATTTTCTGACAGCTTTCAAGCAGACGGAGCACAAATCTACTACACTTTGGAGGAGGACGCTGTTCAATATCCCAGCATTCCGCGCCTCTTTATTCTTCAAGAAGATGCTAGTGCTCACCTGCTGGCCGGAAACAGTGACGAAGCTTTCTTCTCCCCAGTCGACTTCCCTCGTGATCCAAAGAAACAAAAACGCAAGCATGCATAGAGATGCAATACACGGGCATGCAGCTCGCCTGCCTTTCCCGCTCCACCTGTTGTTAACATGCGACGCATTTCTCGTGCTAAATATATCAACTCCTCCCCGCTCATCTCTCGACATAGCGCCTTCTTCTCGGCAGTCGTGCTGCACGGTCGACCTGGATCTACCTGCCCACCACAGGACAGGGATTTGTACATTGCGTGATCCACGTCATGAACAGCGGAGTTTCTTGCCATTGTGCAATGCTCCATGCCATGCAGGGCTGCGTGCATTTCTAGGCCTTCCCGAAATTTGGGCGTTAGAGTTGGTTGGCGTCATATCTTCAGTCCATATGCTCATCAACACGTCATGCAAGTCTTCAGGGGGCATAAGCGACATCCACAAAGCTGCCGGAATCAGTTCAGACGACAGCTGCGTGCAGCATGCTGCGCATGATGAAGAGATCGAACGCAAGGAAATGAGAGGAAATTGCGGCCCTCGATCACCCACAGAAGCATCACAGCAATTCACATTACGGACTTTGCCACCGGTAGCGCCGCCCGCGCCAGTTGCGGTTGTGCACAAATGCAACATTACTAATGAGCAGGCAGGCGTGCTGGCGTACACAACAAAGATGACTGCGCAGGCGGGGCGCTTGGGGCGAAAGGCGGAACCGCGTCTGCGTTTGTAGTCCAGTGAGAAAAGGGGACCGCACTCAGCACTGTCAACCCGGTGGAGACCACAGCAGCAGCGTCGATTGCCACAGCTCCGCAAACATTGATTGAGGAGGTAGGGGAATCGAATCGGACCCTTGCCGTCATGATCAACCAGCGATTTCAATGCCCGTGCATCGCCATGGATTCATGGCCACAGCCAAACCCCGGACTTCGGCAGGCGGCCCGCGGACCTCCGTCACCGCAGGCGTCCGCAGCGAGGCACGCTGTGAAGCGTCGCCATCGAGGTTCGCCCGCCTTGCCAGATCCGTGCGCGTGTGCGATGCAAGTGCAGACCCTGGCAAACCCCACCAGCACCCCGCCACATGCACTGGCGTCGGAGTTCCCGTCACTCGTTCACGCGGGCTCCCAGCACTGCCGCCACGAGTCCAACGGCTCGCCGCCGAGCATCCCAGGGCGCACCTTTCAACCTCGACCTCTGAGACAGGCCGTCCCACGAGCCAGCGTGTGCGCAGGCCGCGTGGGGGGACACCGGCGACTGGCAGCCCGGGTCCTCCCCGCCGGAGTGCAGCAGCCTGGCGCCGTCGCGCGCCACCCGCGGCCCCACATCGCCCGCCTTGTGGCCCCTCGAGGCCATGCGCCAGGGGCCGCGCGGAGATACCTAGGGCACCGCCGCCCACCACTCCCTACTGGGACCTCGCCCGCTCGGCAATCCCGCGCTGGTCATGCATGCGGCGCCGTCCAATCGACGGGTCGCGCTGCGTGGGGACGTGCCAAGGTTCGGCCTGACTGCGCCATCGTGAGGAGCGGTGGATAAGGTAATGGAATGACCATGTGGACAGATGGTAGTGCGAAGACTAATAGGCCAGAGGGGGGGGCAATACAATCCGCGGACGGCCAAATCCGGCCACTTCCCCCCGCCTCCAGAGCATCACTGCGACCAATTCATTTATCACGAATTTTGTAAACTGTGTGAGAGGAAAGCAGCACCCCCTCGCAGTACCAGTACTCCTGAAGAGTCCTCTTCGTTGTCCACAACACCCACCTGGGGAGCGCTGTACAGCAAACTGTAACTGGTCTCCAGCCCATGCAAATTTGACAACAGATTTCTGTTGCTGATCACAGTACTCAGTGCCTGGCACACTCGAAGGTTAAGGGAGGTGTTCCCAGTCTGGGATGTCAACACACTCCCACTGGTGCGAGCTTCCTTGGTATCAAGGGAGCTCTTTGGAATCTTGGTTCTCGAGTAGGTGGGCTCAGCAACGATCCGCAAGCCAGTGTGCATCACGCAGGTCAGTCACGGCTTGAAGCTTTCACAAGGCGAAGGGAGCCTGGGATCGCAAAGTTGCCCTGCGCAAGCAGTAGCCCTGTGGCGAAGGATTTATTCGCAGTTGGGGCGTAGAGCACTTCCATTCAACGAACGGATCTGAATTCATATTTAGTGTGTGTAAAAATTGATACACCGAAGAGCGACGGCATCTCATCATAATACTTGGGTTACCGCAGCGTCAACACTGCCATCGTATTCTGCTGAAACTATCTTTGCTCCCTTTCTTCCAGAAGAATGTGAATGGAATATAACGCTTCAGCTACTTGCAACGGACCGTTACAATGTATCTAACCACCTGCGCAATTGGTACAGACATCAGTTGACAGAACCTTGCAGCTTATTCCACTTTCGTTCACATTCGCGGTGGGTGGGTCAATCGGACAGATGAGTATTTGCTGGCCATTCTCTTCCAATCACTAGCAGATGCGTATATTCTGTTAGATGCGTACTGCGCAATAACTAGCACAGATTGCAAGGTGCTGTTCCCATGCACCTTCGCGGAACAGATACTGCTCTTTTGCATCTCCAGATATCCAGAAGTTGGTTGCCCCATTTCGGTAGACTACCTGGAAGAGGCAACAGAAATCTGGAATAAACACAACTGTTTGAACATGTGTTTGTTTATGCCGCTGAGGTCATTCCGGATTTTTGTTGCCTCTTCCAGGTAATCTACCGAAATGGGCAACCAGCTACCCCCAGCACTTCATTCTGAAGATGGAGAATCCACACCATGCATGCACGGATATATTGCAATGACTGTAGCAGTGGAAGGGCATTGCCCATTTGATAAAAATGCTGATTGTTTATGGCAACATGGGCCAGCATAAAAATGCGTGGTTGCCTGTCCTGGCTAGCTATTGTGGCTATTGGCCATTAAAGCATGAAGCAAGAGTTTCCCTAAAATTACTAAAATACCCAAGTCCGGTTTCTAGCAGTAGAGATCAATTTAAAAGCGGCAATATACATACACTACTATGATACATGCCCATGGGCGCACTGGCGGTGCTCAGACACGCCAGTGCTGGGCGATAGCTCGCGTTAATTTCGGTGCCAGGATATTGTTCAAGATGCGTTCAAACTTGAGAGAAATGCAATAGCGTTGATGGCACTGATGGTGTGGCAGGCCATCGTACTCAATGCACAGTCATTCTCAACTGTGCGATTGGGCACTGGGGGCCTGCATGTAAGTGTTGTGCTCGGGCGTATCATGCTTCAGGATCCAAGGCAGTTTCGGAGTGCCAGTCCAATGTGATGGTGCACTCAACAGTGCAGCACACAAGGCGTTCGGGATGCCGATCGTTCCGCAGCTCGTCAGATCCATATCTCCGCACATGTCGCACACATATTCAACGGCCACTGTTGAGGTCTGCCGACACTGCGACTCGAACGCGCATCGCTTTTGCAGCAGAGATATACTAATGGGGTGCTTTTCAGCCGTAATACCAACTAATAAACGAAAGAAATAAATCATGGCGAGTCGTAATGAAACTCACAATGGGGCTGCAATTTAGAAATGTGCAGGCCTTTTCTCACAAACTGTCTAAGCAAAAGCAATAATCCAGATCTTTAAAATAGATTCTTCCATATGCTGCATATGTGCTGGTAATGGGAGAAAAAACCTCATTGAAGAGGTCAATATGAAGAAACTCTGGCAGCTCACGAGAACACAACCAGCGCTATGTGAAAGCACTTCATATGTAAATATGATTATTTTCTTTGAATGAGCAACACCGCAAAACCAAAGCAACAAAAAGAGATGTCTGAACCAATGATGGTTCAGCCCTCTTTGAGGCATTCAAGAGAGTTACAAGGAGATTGGGTTACACAAAGCAAGCATCCCATGTCAATCTGCACTGATCTAAACAGATCACTATGGAACAATTCAAAAGAATTGTTGAGGAGGGAGACAGGTTGGAACTTCAGGAACAATTCATGAACTGCAGCTGCTATGCACATAGACCTCACGTAGGGAACGCCCTACTAAGGTCTTTTGGTACGGGGGACGCTCTGCCCAGGATAATGTAACGTTACCCGAATTGGACCATATATAACACTACAATATGGGAGTAGGCCGGGATAGTCCCGCCTAGGTCCCTGCAAGGACCTAGGTGCCTGGCGAGGTGGGTCCGTAGTTTAAATAAGGTAGGCACCCCATTCCACTAACAATCTCATACTAGTTGGTTTTGGAGCCAGGTGGGGGTGGCTCGCCCACTTCCTTTACATGAGGAAAGGATAGCGCATAGAGACGCCATCCCCAGCCTCCACCATGGAGGCCGAGAAATCAATCTTACAGCCTGTGAGGGCTCGGCCATGGAGGCGTCTGACCCAACAGCCAAAAATGGCGAGCCGGCAGAGGAGGCTGGTGACATGGTAGCATCTTGTGAATGACCATCGGAAGCTAAGTGCGCAGTTCGGGAGGATGCAACAGAAGGATCTACTGGCCGAGCACAGGCTGGGGCATAGGACTAGCTAATGGAAGAAGCAAGGGAAGCCCTCACACTAGTGGTGGAGCCAGGCAACATGGCAGCATTTCTTCAAGCTCCAGGGATGATAGAGTTGCTGGAAAAGATAGCAGCAACTGTGGTCACCAAAGCACATGAAGTATGCGATCGGGAAAAGGTGCCCTGGATTGCATGCCTGGAGATCGAGACCGCTACAACCTAGGAGGAGGCACGCTACAGTGAGGTGGCCATGAACAAGGCCAAGGACCGAAGCAAGGAGGCCGAAGCTGAGAGGGCCTCTACACAGGAACAAATGGCCATCCTGAGTAGTTGTCTGTTGAAGCAGAAGCAACGGGCCCGCGAGGCAGAGGAATAAGCCTTGCCCAAGCCCATACAGCCCGAGAGGCCATCTAGTCTGACAGAGCCGTGGCCGACCCTCCCGAGCATTCCAGAAGATTTGGGGAGTGGAAAATGGCGGGTCATACAGGGGCAAAGCAAAAGAGCCGCACCACAGGTGAGCTCTTCCCGTAGCCTGAGAAAGGTTCCTAAGCAGACCCATAAGCCATAATCCAAGAACCTCAAATTAGATCATAGGTGCATGCTAAGACATCTAGTGATGAAGAACAGCTCAGTGGGGATTGTTATGGAAATTTATGGGGGTTGTTGTGATTTTACTTGGGGTAAGGCTATTTTGGGCATTTATGGAGTGGGGGGTGGTCAAAAAAGTGCAAATATGCTGAAATCGGCTTAATTAAGAGCTTTTGATGCGATTTCTGCCCTAAAACATTAAATTCCGTGTAGAAACAGCCAAGTTCTTGCACTTTAGGGCACTGAGTTTGGACCATTAGTGGTGAGTATTAGAGGTTAATTAAGGTATTACGGGTGAATCGGAGGTCGTGGACACGTGCCTGGACGTGCACTGAATTATCATGTCTTGATGTGACCATGAGGGACCCGCAATCAGGCCGCGCACATGCGGGTTTGAGCGTGCGCCCCCGCGATCGCATATAATCGATTTTGCGCCCACTCTCTGGCCTTCCGTGAGCTAGTGACCACCGCTCAGCACTGTGCCACCACCAGCCACGAACGGCAGGCTCCGAGGACAATCCCCCATCGAGCATTGGGCCCACCGCGTGACCAAAGAAACGAGCACCCAAGAAACGCCACCAGAGTGGGGTGAGAGGCGTAGCCCAAGACCAGGGGCTGCGTGGGAGGGTGTGGCAGACCTAGCACTTCGAAACCAGCAGGGGCTAACGGGCCCCGCGACAGGGACCATATTGGTTATGATTTTTCCCTTGGTTCTTTAAGGCCATACGACTAAAAGATTAAATAATTAATATACTTTAAATGGCAGCCCAATCAAGGGCCTTGAACTATGGGATAAGGGCCCTAGGATTAGTGTGGCTATGTGGTCGATTTTCTGGTTTTTACAGTACTTTAGGGTACTACGGGGGTGGTATGTACATTTTATACCTGATATCAATTTTGGGGGGATGCACAGCAGGCTCCCCTGGACACGATGCGCCCTACCACTAAAAGACCATGTGGTCTTGTCATTAACAATCTTCTTGTCGCATTTGTGAGCCCCGTACCGTGCGAGTCAAACCATGCTCACATTGTGAGCACTTGCGGCACCCTGACTGTAAGGGGGACTCATACTATATTGTGTATTATAAGATGGTTGGGAATATCGTACAATAGGAATACTCGTTTGAGGGAAAGAGCATAGCACATTGTATAATAAGAACCTTCATGGGAACAATGTATATTAGGGAAACCATGGTCATTACTTGAAAGGGAATAGTGTCAATTAGCAACGGCAGCTGGGGTGTTTTTAATACTATGGACGAAGGGGGAAATATTGGG